AAACCGCAAAGGAAAAAATGCATATGTGCAGTTTGTCTATATTTAACTGAAACACATATCAAAAGAGTACTTTTATTTTATTTGCAAAACTTATGTTGATGCCTAGATGCTAATTGCGCTTTCACAAGTCTTGCGGATGTTATATATACATAAATATGTGTATATATAATTTTTTGGCCGTATAGGCAAGGATATATGCGTATCTTTTGACAAAACCTGTCAGCACTCGCGAGAGATACTAAAACATCAATTTGTGCAATTAATGCTTCTTTTGTGACAGAGACTTTTTTCTTCGAGTGGTTAGACAATACGAAAATAGGTAAAATATGTATAAAAATCGACTGATGTCCTTAGTTGTGTCTACAACCCTCAACTTAATGTCCTATGAGCACTTTTCCTAGAACGAAGATTTTGAATAATTATGGTTATCTCAACTCAGTTCTTAAAGAGCCTTAATAAAATTAGCCAGCACTTTTATGTAGTAAACGATATCACTGAGTTGATAAAGTTAGTAGGCCCTATTTATAGTTGTTTCACGGTCCCATGCTTTCATCAAACGCATATCGGTTATCTGCATTAGTAAGGTGAACCACAAAAACAACTTATACATAGCATCTATGTTTGATGCATTTCCCACACCATATCGAATAACGAGATGGCTGCATGTGGGTTCCTTTTGATATGATCATTTATTTAGAAGAATCTTCATTACATTCGAATATATATTCCATTTGTAGACTGTAATCCCATTATCAAAATCGTTATTGCATTTCTATTTGATTGTTTTATTACACGTCCAATAATAGCATAATGTACGCCAAGAACTTCAAGAGTATCCTTGTATTGAAATTCTGATTTCAATATTGACAAACATCATATCTCAGATTGATGATCGGCACTCTTCGGGCTCATGGGGAATACACATGGTGCCTTTAGTACTAGAACACTGAAGTCACTTCATTCAATTATACATTTGAAACAACATTTAGCAATCCTACTTCCGCTTTGTGTAATTAAAGATATACTATGCGAATCAGAAAATATTTTAAGGCCATATCTTTAATGTCTAAATATCTTTTTACTTGCAAGGTACTTGTCTTTCGCAATTCAGACCTAAAAACCGATAAAGTCCCCTAAGATGAAAATGCTTGATGTCGGTATTTCAGGAAGACATGGCGGTCTAAATTAATCGTGATTTGTTAGAACTCAGTTATGCAATTAGAAACGGTACAAAACAGCGTTGATTAGTCTCGGAATGCAGTACAAAGAAACTTGTAGGTGCAATCTAACCAGCTAATTGCCTCTGAAATGTAACCCCCACGCATTGTACGGAATTTCAGGATTAGCCTCAAAGAAAAGTGATTGAATGCTAATGCAACTTGGATTTGGATATCATGATATTATTCTTAAGACTTCCACAAAGAAAGCGCAATTAACACAGAGACCATTATATTATACTCAGATTAATTATCTGAAAAAAACCAAGCATAAAATCACTATATAAAAGGCAATAAAAACACGCCTACAATTTTTATCATTTGTCTCTGGTTTTTGCAACAGGTATCAAAGTCTAGGGATGGATGTTGATTTGACAATATATACATTATTTTGTATTGTGTTTTATGTACTTGCTTTTCGAATTTCCTCCAAGTAATTATATTGCTATGTGACTCTATAGGACCCATGTGATTTCATTCCTCAGCGTTCAAATAATTGATTGATGTTTTTAATATGGGATGGAGTTCGCTGCGTGTTGTCCAGTTTATAAAACTATATAAATACCGCATTCAAATATACCATTTATCTTAAGTTGAATTTCCAAAAGTAAAATCATTTCCATTTGCGGTCCCTAATGTTATATGGTATCTATATGTGGATTTAACCTTTACCTTTTCAAAGTTAAGTTAGTCTTGCGGGTGTTACATGTCAATTCCAACAGGCACGGCGTTTCCAATTAGACTATCGTTTCGGGAACACAAAGCGCGCAGGCAGTAGGCACTAAAGACAAAATAAATTGTTCGTAAACCTAAATAGATTTTAGGTGTTTAAACTAGCATTAATTCTCCAATCGGTCGCAAACTCGACGTAACAGGGACTTTTATGGTCATTCCAAGAGCATTTAGCGTTGGATTTTGGCAGTAACTAGTATTTTCGATTGACTGACTAAAAACAACGGCTTTACATGTACATACTAGTTGAAAAAACGTAGGCCTACAACGGCCTCGGTAGCTCCATATACATAAAAAACATCGAAATGAAAATCACTCCAGGTGCGTGACATCATACTGTGCAAGAATACAAAAGGTGCGAAAATCTGCGTGATGCGCGGTTAACCTTCATGCAACCTCTGCCGGGTGAAATCCTCTGCCCTGGAATGACGTAATAGCAAAAGACTACACTATTCTACAGAGCTTAAGAGAATACAAACAATGGATAAATTCTGTCACCTTTTTCTTCGTTGCTCCACCACACTCGCGAGTCTACCATTATTTCTGCTCTCACTCTCCTCAAAATCCCGCAAAATTTGGACTGATCCCGAGACTTTGAGTTATTTCCATTCCCATCAAGCTTACCTTCTTACTATCAAGTACCGGTGTGACTTGGGTTACTTGCTTATAGTATGGGGAGAGAAGGACAAAGAAAAGATGCACACGGTGCAACGCACTCCACTGACTTGAGTAATACTTGACCAATGAGGACATGTAACAAGTGGTCACCTTAATCATTACTTCAATGTATCAACAGCCCCGGTAGATCTGCACGAAAACAGGAAAGTGTGACCTTAGAAAAAAAGAAAACACTCCCCCGCCTTATGTCATTGTCACTTTGAAATCGACCGAAGGCTTGAAAACTTTTACTAGATTAAACTATCTCCTGTCCTTGTGTAACTTTGATTTAAGTGTTGGATAAAGCATACTTTCATGTTCCCATGAGAACGGGAATGACAATTAAGATCCATCTCTGCGCAATGAAGTGATCTCGCTTTCCCTTGAAACTACAAAGCCATTCTTGTCACAGAAAGCATCCATTCTCTACTTAACATGGGGCTTTAATCTAACCACACTTGCTATATTTACCGTGTGTGGCTCCCATGTTTGATCGGAAGCTTCCTAGTTTCTTTAAGTGCAAGGTTGCTTTAGGTCGCTTGCTGAGATTGTGCAAAACCAAATGTGTGTATTCATATGAATTTTCTGTGTTATGGTTTCAGTACAAAACTTGAGCAAGAAGTGTGTGAATTGATTATGTACGTACAATCAGAAATATATATATAGTCTTAAAAGACATCCCATGCGGGTGTAAAATCTACACATCGAAAAATGATCAAACAGCTTTTAAATGTTAAAATCTGTCGTGTAAAATTCTATTGAGTAATGCAATTTGCCAAGAAGGACACGCTACATTATAAATGCCACTTACACGTACATGTCTGAACAGAGTGAAATTGAGTTATATCCAAATTGTGGGCCGATATGATATACAGTGCTTTATTGTTTTATTGAATTAGTCTAAGCAAAAAGGAAATTTCGCTTGAAAAATTGATTCAAAATTATTGGCCATTGAAGAAGATGAATTGGTGAAAGCCCCCATTTCCCTTTGAAGGTAATGCAATCTAAAACGACAGGCCATGGACGTCTTTACGATTAAAAAAACACACTAAATATTCAAAAAAATTGGATTTAAACAAAGTCATCTGCAATTTCTACAGTTTTCAAATCCGAAATGTGTTGACAAGACACCCTCTCCACTTCCTTCTAAACACTTGTGCCAGAAACTAGACTAAAACGATTGGTCAACAAAAGAGCATGTCGAGCAATTAAGCATTCTGAAAGATCCACTTAGTTTGTTGATATCAATCAATTACCAGACTTCACAGAGATGATTAACATACATTCAAGTGACCCGGTCATTTCCATCTGACCACTTACGGCCATTACAAATTGCTGGTCTCCATACGCCAAACGGTGGATAACAAAAAAGAACCTAACGGATGAGAAATACCTTGCATTGAGGGTCAAACAAGACATATGCACAATGCTATCATATGGAGATGCCTTTATTACCACCTTTGGTTCCATTTAACGGGACTGAAAATGAAAACTCATCTATATGACTAAAAAGATACCATTATTATGAGTGTTTGTCTATAAACTGAGTGTCTGTCCCTTACTATTAGAAAGTGAAATGGGCTTCAAACGAAACTCATGTTAAACAGTCAATACGCCAACGTGTGTTTTGGTATAAGGTGATACAAACAGCACTGTATCATTCTTTAAAGTTCAAACAGATATTTTTGGCTTCAATAATGAACACTTTTCGCAATCCTTTTTTTCTCAAAATATGTACAAAGTTCAAGTCCAATTATCCGGGAAGGAGAAGCGGATTGCATTTGGCAGCTGCATCCTAATCTCTTTTACAGGGTGGCTAGATCAAGGATTACAAGTAATTAAAAACAGGACGCAGCATTACACCTTTAAAATGTCTGAGGATGAGTTAGGTTTGAAGATTGCTTAATAGTGCGCAAATGCTGTGCGTTATATTCTAGGATTTTTTTTACTATTTTTCCCTTCCAAAAGTTTTACTAGATCTGTTTTTAAACAAACAACACCTCATAAATGTTACATGCAGTATGTGTATTTCTGAAATGCACGGTGGATCATTTAATTTGAGGAGGTCATTCGTGGACCATACAAATTAAAAAATGAAAATGTTACTTATTAGTTTGCGTATTCGGATGAAAGATCACCTCTCGTTGTTATTAATAAGGGCGCTTTTACAAAGTCGATACGTCTTAGATGCATTCCAACGCACAAGAACTGTGCCAAAGCTTGAAACTGGTCCAATTTTAAAAAGCTAGATTATTAAAACATTGAAAAACGAATTTTTGTCACATAGATGTAGAAAGTCGAAAGTCTCACACAGGAGCTTTGTCATACAGAACTCATAATGATTATATCTTAACGTGACAAAAATCCTGATCGTTGGTAAAGCACAAAACTTACCTTTACTTGGTATGAAGTATAAACCGTATTTTCCAAACGCAAGCTGCATCGATGTTGATACAGTCCGAACGGCAAGTGACGCTCTCGAGTTTCTGCAGAGTTATTCTGTAGCACTGGTCCCTTGTATTACTCCGGAGCGAATGCGTTAGCGCAACTGAACACTGATAGTCTAACATGCGCGTTAGCTCACTTGTTTCTCGCCTTCTTTCAACAAACTATTACAATATATATCACTCCATCGATTTAATTAACGCTTGCGCGGAAGCTTACGCGATTGGATCGTATTTGGTGATTACTACGAATCTTAGGGTTCTGTGAAATAGGCCTTCCTCTTTATATTCCGTCGCGTTTAAATACACTTGTATCGTCCAGAAAACCTAGGTTTCGTGCGGTCTTTGTTTAAAGAAAACTGAGAAGCGGTGTTATCATCACGCACTTGAAATGAAGCAAGAGTTTCACTCAAACGACCCGGAAATGCAACAATTGCATGTTTTCGGACGATTTGTTCATTGGAGCCATTACTGTGATATGGCGGCTATCAAGCATCCTGCCCAGCTTTATCTTCACAAGTACGTGTCTTCCTATTGCCCGGTTTACGGAGACACGTGTGAATCGTTTTGAATACGTTTCATTTACCATTATCAAAACTGCCTGTGAAGTTGAAGGCGTCCCTGAAATCGTTGAGGAGAAGGAAGCTCTTTAGAATCTATTTTGGTACAAAAATATGTTTCTTCATTATGTCCTTGACCTATCCCGTGAGTGTGGGGTCCATTGGACCCCATGCGTTTTTGAACCAATCCGCTGGGACCATTTAGGAAGTTTTCATTACGAGGTTTTATGAAATCGTATGTACCTATGCAGAGAAGTATGCGAATGTATGTTTTTAAGTTTTAATAAGAGAAAAGAAAAACAACCTGGGTCCAACCTGGGCGGGGTTAATTCACTGGACCACCAACAGCGAATTTTTGTGTGTCCAATTTTGATTTGATTAAACTGAATTCTGTGTCAATTCACGTCCTTTAACATTTGTCGGCGATGGTCTTCAGTTGGATATCTTGTTTAGCGGACCCTAGGATAAACCGATAAGTCCTAGTCACATCCTATTGGGAAAAGTTGTTCTGTGCAAAGGTCCCTTAGGGCCAAGATACTACTATAACCCACTGTATCTTCTGTGGCGGCTGTTGATTTAAATGAGAAAGGCGCAGAAATGTTAAACTATGTTCGGTCGATTTGGTCTACTATTACCTGCCCCAGTACAGGATTTTTGAGAGGAGGAATATATTAGTATGATATAACGTAAAGATAACACACCAATACTTTATTGGGTTATTGGGAGAGAGGCGAAATATTCCCCCTGGTGTTGGGGGAAATGGCTTTTCAAAAAACAAAAAATTCTCAAGGGTTTTCTAGTCCGAGGTCGACAAATGTTGCTCAAATTGAATTTCTAAACTCTCCTGTTGAGAAGCTTGGGTCTATTAATGCCTCCATACTCCCTCTCAAATATCTGAGCCATAGTGGAAAAGTGGACATACCTGTATGTCTAGATACTGGTAAAAGAATTGAACGTGCAGTTAAGGTGGACTATTGTAAAGTGTAAATTCGTCTTCTATTCGCGTTATTCTACTTATATTCAGTTTGAGGTTCGTTGGATCCCACAGGAGTGGAGAGTGGAGATATGAATTTTCGACAAGAACCGGAATAAAAAAATGCAACTATACAGAAAGATAAATAGATATATAGATAGGTAGATATTTCACTTATAATGAATTGTGTGCAGAAGCACATAAAAACAAACAAAACATGTTTTCATTTCCACAACATCAGCAAGTGAAGCAGTCAAAATTAAATTGGACAAATAAACGTATTTGCATATAACGTTTGTGCATTTGTTTGCCCAAAGAGCTGTGGCTGATCTGAACCCCAAGTTAGAAAATTATCCTCTCAATTATCCCGTCAGCGGACAGTCGTACAGAACATGTACCACAGTTGGTACGCTCCCCGCATGTGCACTTAGTTTTCATCTTTTTGACCAGCGACACTTTTTCCACCATAAGGACTTGAGCTGACGAACGGAATCTGGTTGCTATAATTTGATCACACTCTTTTATGTTAATCCATGTACATACCAGTATGTCAGATACCAGGTTCTGTATTTAATTGAGATTTCTATTTTACATCAAAAGCTCACCTACTGTTATAACTGAAGTTTGGGGGTTCAGCGAGGGACACGTGGAAAAGGCGTTGGTAAACACAGAAAATTCAAATCTCCAGAACAAATCCACATGTAGAAAATCATTCATCTATCCAACAAAGGTGTTAATACAGGTACTGATAACCAACAATAGTCAGAATTAAAGAACTTTCAAAGAAATACTGTGTAATGAAGTCACAGACAAAACTAGCAAAAATTCGGAGAAAGGCATTGAATTTAACAAATACAGGTGCAGTTTCTGTCGTGACACGTGTACGTGTGCACACGTGTTTCAATCAAATATTGCTAATCGATATCTTGGAAATCATTATGTCTATTCAACATTAAATGCACAATTTTAATTTCATGCCGGTGCACCTATAACCAACGGGTAATGAAGTCATTCACGTGCCATTTATGGAACTGGGTTGCTACCGATACTAAAAAAAATAAAAGTGCAGTTTTTACCACGATCTATGTTCACCATAACAAATCTGCTGACGGCGGGCCTATCATTTCACTAACCAGAAAGTAAATAATTTTCAAATTTAAATATCAGGCACATATCATTTACGTATTCGTCTATCAGTTGGACTATTATTATTTGAAATTCTAACTTAAAAATTAGCCGGTTTGACAAAGGGTTTATCAAACAGCACCTAGCCACGAAGTCATAGTACCATTACTTTACTTGACCAGATTGACGCACAGCTTCAATTTACCGCCCTAAATTAAATCTTCTTGTGCGTTGACAATTTTATAGGGATAACGAAAGCATCTGAAACAATGAGATTAAAACACTGCGAAAAGTGGCCGTCCGTCACACTTGTCAACATTAACATTGTAAGCAGTTACTTATTTATCAAACTCAAATCTGTCAGTGATAGATTTTTCATATAAATTTCACTTAACAGCTGTTGTGACAATGTAACAGCAGCTGATCCACAGTTGCTTTCATTCATTATTCAAGACGTATTTATAGTTCTTATTCTTTCTCTATCTATCTTGATTTGGCGGCGTTGGATGGCTCATTTCCACGCTACAATAATGCTGCAGAAACGACCAGCATTGCTGAATTATGTTGTTTCTGTACTTATTGTACTTTTCGAGTCTAAAACACAAAGAGCGTGTTGTATATATGAATGACAAGGTCATTATCGATTTATATTAATAATTAGTGATAACATTACCTTGATCCAATCAATTCAGAATGGGAAACGAAACCTCAGACAATGAGGCACAATCAGACAGAATTGGGTGCATGAAGCAAATAGTGTTATTGGGTAATCAGGGAATTTTCATTTAACAAGTATTCGTTATGGGTTATTTCCAATCACGTTATTGAATGAGATTTCCCTTATTGCCATAGCTCTGAATCAAGTTAATGAATTTGAAATGTTCAGGATTAGGAGTAAACCACAAAATAGCACCATACCAGAATAGACGGTACTGAGTCCAAGGAAACTCTTATTGTCGTTTCTGCAGCATTCAGCTATATACAGAATACATGTAAAAGAATTTCGACTTTTCAGGTTTTTTAAAATAATATTTCAAGATAATGACCTGCTTTCGGAGAGAGAGAGGGGGGAGGGAGGGAGAGAGAGAGGCATGAGATTTTAAGTAACTAGCGTGTATGTAACAAGGAATAATGCGGTCGAACGCGAGCAATCTAATAACAATCGCAATTGACATCAGCAAAGTACGGAACACATCAATGAAAATGAATGGCATTTTAAGCATCACCAAGCCCACTCCAAAGTAACATTGATATGGCACAACCTTATTAGACCACTTTTGCTAAGGTTACTTCGATACGATTGACTCTTAGCTTTAGATAAAGAAGTAAAACGCAGTAAACCCGATGGCTATAAACCGAGCAAACCACACAGTAATGCCACATTTTTCTTGACAGAATGTGACATTGTAGGTAATAATAGACCATGATATTGGATTTCGTCTTCGTCAATCGCACAAATATGATACTAGATATGGCCAAAAAGGAAATGGATCGATTAGTTACAAAAATGCAATTTTGATAATTGATGCAACAAAAAAGACACACAGCATATTTGTCCTTACATGTGAAAACACTCACCAGCAAACGAACGACACATATGTACATGGTATAGGAATGAAAAATATAGGATCAACTTTTTAAAGGCAGTCACCCATTTTGTCGAACAAATCTTTAATCTTTTCAAATTCCATTTGGTCTACAAAATCTTAAATGTGAGGCATTTGCTATTTTCCATAAAACAGTCCAAATGTATACTATTTATTTTCTCAAATACATCAGCAGTCCCTAAGCAAGAGACTGTTAAATGACGAGAACCGCCCCAAAAAGCGTCCGAAATACCCAGAACTCCCCTGAGAGAACAACCTTGATTATCGACACATTGAATCTGGGTAGATCCGAGCCCGGTGTTGGTAGCCAAGCCTTTGCAAAAGTGAATCCCAAGTGGGTGGGAATAAAATCGAGTATTTACAAGGTTGTTTACCCCTTCAAGTTCAATCACACTAATTTTCGTGACGAAAAAGCTTAGCACGTAAAACAGCCTTCTGTAGTCATAGCTCGAGAATATTGGACATTTGGTAAAGGCCGAAAAATGGATGATTTACCTCCTTTGTCTTAATTAATTAGGCAAAGGTGACCACCGAGCTCACTTCTTGTCACCTGCAGCTACGTGTCATTTTCTAGAAATATTTGAAAAATTTGAAATCTCTTGAGACGCTGGAAAAGAATATTCATCTTTATTCTCGTGCAGTAAGAACGTTACACACATTATCAAATACCATGTATAATACGCTACAAAACCTGTATATTAATATGTTTCTGAATACTGTGGGCATTAATTTTTCATACTAAAGATACAATTCGTTTTCGTTTATAAAACGATATTTTGATCGTCTAATAACATCCAATGCTTTTACGAGCTTAGTGCAATCCTGTAAAGGATATTTTTGACAGACCAGAAATACAAACATGTTCTTATTATATAAGAAGCTGTCATAGAATGATACAGTTTTATACGTATCAGGTTTACGCTTTTAAGAGCACATGAAAGTGGTTTGTGAAATGGAATGGTGCATTTCCAGGTCAAAAGAGACTGAACCACTTGTATGTTATCTAAAATAGCGGTTATGAGCATGTGTATATAGGAAAAAAACATAACCGAGCACTGTCAACACTATTCGGAAGAAAATCCTTAGCAGCAGCATATTTGAAAGAATTGAGCAAATTTCAGACATACCTTATGAGCGAAAATACAAGAATTGATTGCAAGGTGTCACAGCTGAGTGGCTCTAAGCACTAAGATAAAAAGAGTATAAATTCATTCCTACATTGTCATAGGATTTAAAGACACAGCAGAGTCTAAAATAGTTTTTTCGCCACTCAGGGACTTTTTGATTTACCAAATGACCGTTGCGATCATGATTGCATTCACATCATATTTGGCTTTTTATAAATCGATAGCCGTTTTTCTTGTGCAAAATTTGTATTTTAGAATTTTAAAATTTTTAAATTTTTAAATTGTCAATCAAAAGAGTTCGTGGCCCTTGTTTTTTTTCCCGGCCCTTGTTTTTTTCCCACAGGCCTGGACGAAACACATTTTTTTTTCAATTTTTTTTTCTCTTAATATTATAATTTTTGAGTGTTGATAATGAAAGAAAGTGTTCAGCAAAGAAAGTGAAAATGCGTAAAGCACTCTTAATTATCACCAATGTCTTCAAAACACCTCATCCTTCACTCTAAACATATAAGAACAATTCTTGGTCAATTCGAAGTGGGCACTATTGGCCACTCACACCCCTTTCACCACTCCAAAGTAATCCACTGGCCACCCAATCTCCCCGATTCTACCGTTCTTTGCTTTGGGGAAGGGCATGTTGACTGGGTTTCGGCTGAGGTAGCTGATTTGACAGGTTTTCTCCGGCGAGAAGCTCCCTATACCAACGAACTGCGGGTCCCTGGTTACGGGATACCTGTGCCAATCCATGCCGTCTGGCCCTGAGAATCAAGATATGCAGGAATATATACTCTGTCGTGTATATATAATGTATATATGTATAGGCCTATATTATATAATGTTACTTATGGAAAGCAAAACCACCCAAAGGTGAAAATGGAGACAGATATTATTTTGTTTTTTGATAATAGAACTGATACCGATGGAGGAAGCAGCATTTTACTCGTGACAGACGTAAAAGAAAGTCTAAATATTCTAAAAATAGATAAGTATATGTGGACTTAAAATGACCAATATCCTTCAAGCCTTAGAATGTAAATACTTATTTCCTTCCCACCCACTCCCAGATAAAAAACAGTAGTTTTTTTCCGTGTGTTGTATTGCGATCAGTTATACATGCAAGTACTCTTATGCATATATGTCGGCGTATAGCGGCAAGAGTGGTACAGGGAAGCTGTGCTAATTTGTTTAGTAGTTTTAAAAAGGCTGTTTCATTTGATTTGTCCTTAGAATACATCTGACGTGTTATTCCAGGTTATTTTAGTATTGCCGTTAATGTCATAAGCGTGGGAAGCGTTAATTTATTTATGTTGTACTGGTATAATGTATTATTTTGTTCTAAATGCCTGTTGACAGGACAGAAAGAAAGACAGACGAACTGACAGGAAGAGTGACAGTCAGACAAATAAATAAATAAATAAATAAAATGAAAGATAGATAAATTGAAACTTCATTTCGCTTTCGGTTGTTTTTTGTTGAAATTCAGCGCAGAGAAACATTTATTTGGTTTTGTGATTATTTCATTTCGTTCTCTCGTGTCTCATACCCGTATATATCGGTTTGTGGAGTGGGTTTCCCATGGACAGCCGCTTGTCAAACAAGACCACGTTGTTCTTCTCTAGCTGTTCGTCAGAGCTGTGGTGGGATGTTGAGCTCGATCTGTGAGAGGGGGCGGCCGACCCTGTCCGAGCCTCACTTCGGTAACTCCTGGCACTCATGACTCGTCTGGAAGTGGAAATAACATAGAAATAAATGACATAATAAACGAAATTGTCAAGGTACATGTAATTTGCTTTGATTTCATTTAGCACACGAAGTGGACAAATTATAAATACGAATGCACACCGGGGCTCAAGGACACTGATAAATTGCAATGAAAAGTGTTGCTCGCTCTGGCTATTGGTGTGCCGCAATTCGATACATTTAGACTGCACAATCAATTGCCTGTTATTCCATTTTTCCTCGTTCTTTTGCCTCATTCTCTAAATAAATAATCAGTGATAACGGATATTGCAGATGCATTGTAGCCGTAGAGATATTACACCATCAACAACTCCCACGAGGCAGTGACATGTGTTTTATTTGAAGAACCGAGTGAAATACTGTAGGCCGTAATTTGCCGATGGTTTATGAGAAAGTACGTCGCCAGTGAAACAAGGTTCGTTTTCAGAGAACTCTGCCATGATGTGATTTTACCTGTATAAAAGTTAGCTTTGTTTCTTGTGTAGAACCACCTCCGAAAATTTCGTCAAATCATTTGTATGGCTTCATTTTCCAACTACTTTTAAAAAGTTAAAAGTCCTCAAACGCCCAGGTAATGTTCAATAAAACAATGGACTAAGTTCGCTGATTATGAGTCTCAGCATTTTAGATACGTGTCCTTATGAAACTTGGGATACAAGGGAACTTTTATCTTAACGCTACCCCCCCCCCCCCATAAAAACCCTACCAATGGAAAATATACACTTTTGTATATCTTTACTCCACATCAACAAATATCACTTTTTCTCTTACTTAAACCTACTGTGCAGCTTTAAGTATTTACATAAATTACATTCAGGTCTTTGAAACATAAGAACAGGTTATCTGAAAATAGAATCGGAGGATTTACGACCTAAAACATGCTTAGTAAAGCCTTTCTCTAACCGAAACCTTTGTTGGCGAGACTCGAGTCTCACGGGAGCAGTTCAGAATATTATAGAACCGGAAGAATACTGTATCCACACCACTTTTTTGTGGTTTAGCCCCTAAGATTAGTCGCTTTTAGTCCGAATCTATGATAAAACAATATACAGCGATAGTCTCATTACTTTCTGATCAAACGCTTACTAAGAAGACCACAATAGACGTACGTGATTATGACAAATAAGCGTGCCTTCCGTTATAACTATATCTAGGAAATCCGTGCTTGATTATCAAGGAACACTTGCGGTGAATCCATGTATAAAGTAAATACGAACTATCTTGTCTGTTTCTCGGAATTATGCACCATAGCCGAATAATTGTGTGCAAAATATTACACGCTAATCCCAGGACATTTTATCGTGTGGTGAAAAGAATTGATGACCCGGGAAACAACAAAGACATAGCATCTTATTTAGAGCTTACAAAGATATTCTAGTTCAGTGCAACTACATGTACTGATAGCCCTGGCTTTTAAATACCGGCCTTGTCGTGTCCATAGAACTAGCTCTCATTTTGCATTGAGGCGAAATATCTATAAAATACCAGCTTTTCATTAACATATTGCATAATTGCTGGTATTTTTGCGTATGATTCGGATACCGCAGCTGGCTTTTGGGAAATCTACTACAGACTAGAGCGAATTAAGATTGGAAGTAGAATAGAAAACCACTCTTGAAAGGATTACAACTTTTTTACATAAACATTTCTACTGTATCTCCAAGGGTTACTCTCTAGGACTGCAAACAGACGAGATTTTCACTTTTTATCCTAAGGGCTAACTGAAAACTGAAAAAAAATGGAAATAGCTTGATGTAACTTATATTCAATATTGATAGCGTAAAGTTTTTCATCCAGTGTAAGTCCGAATTTATGATAAAAAATATACGGGAACAATAACCTTATTACTTGATGATCAAACGTTTGCCTAGAAGACTAGTTTTTATCTCTTTAAGTATCTACATTTAAATTCGTTTTTTGGAGTCACCCTCCATCTAAAATTCATTTGGTGGGGCTGCTTTGTTTATTCCAACTGTGCCGCACCAAGAGTTGTTTTAGTAAATCTGCATGTCAGACAGAATGTCAACATTAATCATGGCTACGTAGGTATACACTCTCCATGAAAGCTGTAGAAAAAGTTACTTCTGCACTATGGAATCACACTTACATTATATCGCGATAGGGGGAGAGATCATTGCATTTAAAGTTCAACTACGAGGCAACTTACCAGAAACTTGTCTGAAGATAATCTCGGACACAGAAACGGGTTAGCCATAAAAGTGAAAATACAGCAATCCTTGCATATGCAATATACTGAGGTACATTAAACGGAATTGATTTTAATCTACGCTCTCTTTAGCCCTTAAATCATTCATAGAAATCGAACAATAAACACATAGCTATTGATCCCGAGTCGTTTTGTTTACCTGGCCACATTCAAATGCAGTTTATACATATGTGGGTTGTCAATGTGACAGGCGATAAGCCATAGAGATAGGGACATTGATTACAGTAGCTAGGTAGAGCTCTAAGTTCTCCCCTCTGGCACCTCAATGACACCCTGTGTTTCAGAGTATCGACGGTGAGGTCCCTCTTACCAGCATACTCTCTTCGTCATAAAAACCGTACTGGTATGCTGATGAAAATGTGAGCCTCAAGTGGACTATGAAATTCAGGGTACTGAATACAACTACGCCATTCCCCATCTTTTCGCTTTCTTTGCTCTACAACCCGACACAACTGTTATCGTGCACATTCGCTTAAATGGTCTTCTGTTGCACTGGCTGTAGGCTGATAAGAACACATTTATATTTTATTTGATGCCTTTTACCTATCAATTTCCTTTGTTGGTCAAGTATTACATGTATTTCACTATCCATGACACCTTTTTTATTGCAAAAATAAGACTCCTTCCGTGACTTCGGGTTAGGAATTAGAGATGTCGAACATGTCTGAATACCGATAAATAACCCACATTCATTTGTTCTAGTAGGCAGTTTTGTATAAGTAGCGTTCAAATGATGTCTGTGATTTAAAGGACACGTATATAACTGCCACCACTGACGTACCTACATGTACCTTTGACATTTTATGTATTTTTAGAAAACCTTGTGGTATTAACGCGTATTCCAGGTCGAGGGCAGCTGAGTTATTCAAGAACTGCCGCAACATACTTCCATTTCATAAAAAAGCATGTTAAAACTTTAGTCTTCAAAGGTTTGTGTTAATTATGATTTTGGGCATTTGTATTTGGCAGGTTGATCAGGTTAACTCTAAAACAACTCCTGAAATTGAAATCTGATAAACGATCATACATGTGTTTGAGCAATATCTATGTGCGCATTACTAGTATAAGTATTGTAAAGAAAATTAGGGATTTGCACATGTTCACTGGCAAAGTTCCAAGTATTTTCTTCATCGTTCTTCAGTTAAGGCCTATGGGACAGTAGTACAAGTTCCCATTAGTTTATATTAATGTTACACACGTGCAGTACTACACTAATTATCCGTATACTGCCCTTGTCGTTTCTGAACGAAAGAAATGGACGCACTAAAGATTAATTCGCTTATTAGTATTGGGCGCACATGCAATGTGTCCCAGGCAGAGTTTGGACATCGTTTTAGAAAACACGACATATTAGGTTAACTGAACGGCCTTGCAATGGAGAAACAAACCGTCCTACCAAAAGAGCAAAGTGGACGAGACGTCTGCAGAGGAAGATATGATGAGTCGAGGACGCACACCACTTACCTTAGGTCTAAGACGCTCAAGCTACCAGTAGTTGATATTTCTCGAATCGCTCACTTGGGCACTTCACCCAGCTTTTAATCTTCTCTCTCTCTCTCTCTCTCTCTCTCTCTCTCTCACTCACCCAGCCACTGCACCTAATGATAAACTCAGTGTAACCAAGAGAGTATAAGGAGCCACAATGCATTCTTGAATAAAGGGACTAAGCAAACGGGAGTTGTTTAGAAATCAAGTCAAAGGGCGCGATAGAGCTGAAAAATTACAACATCAATAGGCCCATTGTGGCAGTGGCGTAATTGCCATGTCGTGAACTATATCGTGAAGAAACGGACTTTGCAAATGCGTCATTTCTTGGTGTTAATCAATTCTCGATTATTCAGAGGCGTCGATTAAGGTCCTGTGGATTAATCCTCAGCACACCACGCGATGTGCTGTGCCGTTATTGCTTGCTCTTTTTACCTATTTAGCGAGGTATAACCTAGAAGAAACGACAGAGCGTCCATGGGTCGCTTTTAATAACACTGAGCTTATTCAGTCGTATATTTGATAGTGCTGCTATTAGGCCGCCATTGTGGCGGTAGCTTATTTAACATTACGGTACTGACTAAGCAAACATGCCGAACAATTCCTTAAACGAAACTTCTTCCACGTGTTTGAATAATTTGCTCTTTTTATATGCCTCGCCTTATACACTCCGCATTCTAATCGCGAAGAAAAAAGTCAAACTGGTTTGCTTTTAGGTGTATCTTTTATTTGGCAACGAAACACTAGGCAATGAATAACGATCAAAGCGTAAATATTATATTGAATGTAACAATTTAGAGTCTCTAACTGCCAGAATTGATTACTTTGTTGCACTTAATTTTCTCTGACGTCATTCGGTTGACGTCCGGGATAGCAGAGTCAATTTTTACAAAAGGACTTTTAAAAGTTTTGGGCTTGACTTAGAAAGTGGACCTGTAGTTATACAACTTCCATTTTCCGATATTACAGTAGTCTAAGAGTGTTTTCCGAATTATTGACCTACAATTACTTTTGAGTAAATACTATGAGTAAATACCGAGATCAAGACAACTCGAATTTTATCTCAGAACTGAGATTTACGACTAAAAAAATAGGGGTAACAAACCCTTAAAAATTGTTTTGTGAAACAGCATAGTCGCTAATTTTTTTTTAAAGTCATAGTTAAGACCGATTTCTGTGAAACAGATCCAAGAAACAAGTGAGCAGCATCACCTGTGCGCATTTTATTGAATACCGGGAAACTCCAGAAACTGTAATTAACAAGCAAAGACCGCTGTCTCTATGCCAAATGCATGGGGTTTTCATCTATATGTAAGTGTTTCTTGACAAAAATCACCGACTGTTTCCAACTTCTTATTGTTCCCTATTCCGAATGCAAAGAGGAGCACTTAAATGCAAATGCGAGATTCGCAAACAAAAATCCGCTTCTGACGCAAATTTTGACGCCATTCAATTTTAGAATTATGGCTTCTTAAAAAAGAAATAACCTTTTCCCTAAATGAAGTCTCATTTTGCTAATTGGTAAAAGAACACGCAATATAAACACGATCGATTGTTTGCTAAAACGGAGAGAGAAAGAAAGGAGAGGTTGGCATAATACAGTATATTATCAGTATTGTTTTACCTGATATTACTATATACAATATATTTCTTAACACCAATTGTAATGTAAAGCTCATTCAACATAATTTTTTTCAATTTTGATTGAAATAATAGCCCTGTACGTATTCTCTTTCTAATGACAGAGTTTGTTATTGATTAACTTTATCTTTTTGCAATTAGCAGAGTTCTTAACTCGACAGTACAATATAGATCAATCATCAACAAAGTGCTAAACTTGAATCCGATATCCCTTTCTCAGCGCCCGTTCAAATTGTTTTTGTTGATCCTTCTCCGCACAATTAGCACAATACGGGGAATAATTCAAGCTCGGATAGTATGGATTGACTGCCATGTAATAGAAATCATCTTATAATTGACCTAAGTCACAACCAAGTAATTTTAACACAAAAATAAAAACATTATAATGATGATAATAGTATTAATGATAATGTGAATCATAATGGTAATAATGATGTATTCAACTACAGGAATCCTTGTGGTTAGAGCGGTGCCGTATGGACTCCTTTACTCAAAGTAGGTAGCAAAGACCATTGCTACCGCAAATAGCGTAGCATTTGAGTATGCTGCAGTGGCGTAGTTGTCTGTACCCGCATCCCATATGCTTCTACTTGCCACATATAGTCCTTGTCCTGTATTCTGCCCGACGATCACACTACACACAAACTTGTACCGTGGAAAGTTCATATCCTTCACTCTGCCTTTCACAGCCTCTGTCAAAGTCTGCGAAAGCTGTGCGCACGTTATAGGGTTGTACTGGACGCCCTCCAGATAGGAGGCCAGTAAAGAGCTAATAGATTTCTCGACCCGCGAGGCGTTAAATCGCTCCCCGGGATCTGGTGTCATTTTGTACGTGTTTTGGAAATTTTTAGGCAAGCGCGCAGCGAGGAGAGCGTCCCCACGGCTGGCCCGGTGCATCATATGGATCCCTGCTAAGCTTCCCCTTGACAACGTGGACAGCCGCCTCCCCCCGGGCTGTGGCCCCGACCCGTCAAAACGCGACGCTCTTCGTAACTGCATCAGCTCGGAGCTCTGATGGGACGTCGACGTCACCACGGACTGCCTTCGTCCGTGAGTTTGACTCGGCACAGTGTCTATTTTAGCCAAGTTCTCCACTGTCAGTCGACTATATTCCGACATCTTATCAGGTTTGTTAATATATCAGAAATATGCTTAACACAATAAAAGCACAATTCAGTCATCTACACTCCGCCGTTGTCATAACATCCTTCGATCCGTGACGAAGCGTCAAAGTCCCAATGTCCTGATTGATTGTGGGACAAATCTCTTATATTCTTTGGATTTCGGTGACTCACTTAAGTTGAGGCGCACTACATGCGACGGAAATACTGTGGCGGACCTTTGGTCTTGCAGTTTTCTAAAAAAAAAAAGGACAAGAGTTCGTTTTTTAATCCAGTGAGGCAATTTGTAAAATCCAGAAACCTTATCTCTCTAAACACATTCGAAGCACGATCAGAAGGAGCGAATGCACATTATGAATCAACGACCCATTAAGTCTGTGAGAACGCATTCATTAGCAAAGTGCACATAGCAACAGCTACAGAAACGCAAAAAGTTGATAATAACAGGTGCTATGGAGTAAAAAAAGGTGCTTTAGAAATGTTAAGTTTCATTATGAAAATGATATTTTTCAGAGTCTAAGGAAAAATCACAAGTGCCTGATAGCACCCAGTAAAAAAAAGCAACAAATCGGCTGACAAATATCAGCACAGTATCTGAATTTATTAACTAACAGGCCTCGAAATTGAAGGAAAAAAAATCAGTTTTAGAAAGAAATTTTCGAGATCCTGTTTCAAAAAAGGACCGAAAAGACCCTCAGTCCGAAAACGAGTCTGAGGCTTTATGCTCAAATGTTAGTTTACTTTGACCCAAAATACATTTAAGTCAGTTGTGATCCGATGTCTACTGAAATTCCGCGCCTTTCGTACAGTACCAAAAGAAAGACATGGGTAATGTTTGAGGCCATTGCTTATTCACGAGGCCACTATGGATTTACTCGGTTTCTTGGAATGACGTTAATTAAGGCCAGTTTTTGGAGCTTCAATTCTTTCGTGAAACAACTACACGTGTACTGCATGCTCCAGAAGTCTTGCCACTAACACGTATCTCGAACAACCCTGCAATTTAATTGATTGGTGAGGCGTTTCAGGACCATGTTCGATTTAAAAGAACTTGGCATGAATGCCTACGCAGCTTGACTGTCACTGGAAAGTAGTTCGCAGCCAGGTGAAGAGTAACTTGACCTGGATTTTGTCTTGCTGTCCTACAAACTGTATCGTTAAAATGAAATGAGCACTGTTGCACATCAACATTTTAACGATTCACAACGTGAAATATCACAGGAATTATGAACTAGTAATGAAATATGTTGGATATTCTGATAAATACTGCGTTACGCGATGATTCTGTATGTCGGTGCCTTATTTCCATAAGCAATTAAAAGATCAAATATCAAAATCTGACATTATTCTTGAAATACAGCCTCCCGCAAAAGAGAGTCGGAAGATCGACGATTCCGGCAGCACCTAAAAGCATTTTGAAACGTCGCATCAACTTTCACGGCATGAGAGAGAGAGAGAGGGAGAGAGAGAGAGAGAGAGAGAGAGTATTGCATGATTTCCTTTTTATCAATTAATTGGGAAATTATCCCTTCTGCATGCAGCATAACATTGTGATAATAATTGTGTCATCATACGAAGTTATGCATTACCTGAACGGCCTCCTTGGCGACAGTGCGATAACTGAGCCTTTCCTGATCCCTTATATAACAGTAATAAACTGATAACGTCCACTTTCTGGTCGGACAATAAAATACTACTTTTTCCCCGTCATATCATTCATTCAACTCAGTGTCGGTAGTCGACTGGGAAATGTTAGCATTGAATATAACGTGTACGTGCAAAGGCTCTGACGTACGCCCTATGTTATGACCGGTGCCCCACTGTTTGTATATCACTATGGTTACCGACACTATTCACGCTTGGCTGATCATGGCTCTAATTGCTCCTAAATAGTCCATTATTCAAAATGCATTTATTTTTTTCTCAAGCATTTTGTACGACGCCGCAACTTGGCAGAACGAAGACTAAACACATCAGCCAAACAGACTAGCATACATATACAAAACGATCAGTCTATAGAAAGTGCATCATGTATGTTTTTGCTTATGGCAAAATGCCGTGTTCGTCAAACCTTTTTCAAACACCGTTTACAGACCATTAACCTAGCAGTAACAGAAGTTAAGCCAATATGATCCAGGAAATCTCACTGTTAAATGCAGGAAAAAATACCTCTGGGATTTACGTAACGAACCATTGAAATAAACGAAGAAGGTAATCTTAAATCCAATAACTTGGAGCTCTCCGCTATCGACGGATCATAAACATCCCACTTAAATTCTTATCTCGATTCCCTGTCTAGATACGTTAACATGTAAACAACAGCGTCCTTAGCAACCGAGTGAACAGTGATGCACATCATAGAGACAAGAAAGCTTTGTTCTCTAATCCTCTTATAACAGAAAAAAATAGAAAATATATAAAGCAGCGCCTTATCTACACAAAACAATTGAGAGGATAACAAGCGACAAACATTTTTACAAGACCCTAAATTAAGACCAAAGTAAGACTTCTTTTTGCTTAAATTTTTAGTATACTTTCAAGGCCAAATTGCTGACCTACTTACTCCGTAATTCCAGCTGTCACAATATACGCCTGCTACAAGCAGATTTAAACATTTACCTGGTTATTAAGCTCTCTGCAGTTTGTTTAAGTGCATCAACCGAGCCACTGTGTCTAGGGTCAATGTGTAGGCCACCTGTTTCTCTGAAGATATCTGAACTCGCAGATCCGCTAAAGTGACACTGACAGAGGAGGACACTTAGCGTATTGTACTCAGCCCAATATTCTCAGCTGTGATTCGCGCAACCATAATACGACGCCTTGGGTCAAAAGTCAACATTCGTCACTCCAACAACGACGACTTTTGCTGTGGTAGTAAACCACAGTGATTAGTCAACTTGACGAGTTTTTTCTTTCTTTCCTTTCTTTCTTTTTCTTAATGTGTAGTTTGACATCATTGGTCAGAGGTAGGAGTAAAGTCGATAGTTATGAAATGAGACCTTAACAATGATGGTTGGTGATTAACAATGATGCTTTTTGTTTTTGAAATTTATCTCGCTTCTCGTTTAATTTTGCTGTTTTAAATCCCTGCTTTTCTTTGAAAAGATAATGTTTACATTTATTAGTTCGAAATTTGACACCGTTTCTAAGCAGCATTAAGCGATGGCTTTCCTGACTAAGCACCGGTTTAATTTTAGGTCGAATAAATCAAGTGATCCTTTTTAAATAGTAGAGTGTGAGGCTCACGGCTCTGATTTAAGAGACTATTTTTAGGTTGAAGGAATGGAACTTAGGGGGCAACAAAAGAAATTCAACGCATGTTTGAAGCTTTACCTTATATGACCTTCACTGCGAGCTGATGGATAGTCTTTTTTCATGGGCGTCAGATATGAAAAAAAATGGAAAAAAATGACGCAACGGTCTTTATCTTTAATATCAATATAGCAATGTCTGATATCCGTGATGTTTGTACCGACTGAGCATAACATCGCACTTACGCGGCGCACCCACAATAGTGATATATTAGGCTTTGCAGTGGTGCAATTTACAATACGTCCTTAATGTTCAACATGGTTATGATATTAAATCAATGACTAGCAAAAAGCTTTTTTTTTTCAACCATGATAAGTAAGACTCCGTTCACATGAAAAATCTATTTTCTAAAAATCTATTTTCTATTCGCGGTATCTTGTGATCACTCGTATCTTGCGAGCGCAGCCGAGAATTAATTACAGCTTTGGAAGTAACTGGCTGCCAGTAATTACGCCGCTGGGTATTCAGGGCACAGACCGTGATCACAAGATACCGCGAATAGAAAATAGATTTTTAGAAAATACATTTTTCATGTGAACGAAACCTAAAACTGTACACTATCAGGTTGAAGTCCTGCCAATTACATAATTTTGGCTGTCCGTTTTGGCAAGATTTTATAAACAATCGCGACGGTCCTTTGGTCATTGCTGTGTTTGCCAAATGTATGTACAAATACAGTGGCATGGTTTTTCTTAAACATCAACCTTTGAATGAAACAGAATTCGCTTCAAGCATGGGGTTTCAAATAAAGAAATCACTACTACGTAAGGTTTTATAAAAACCAATGGCGCCCATGAAAAATCGATATCCCCTACGTGAACATGAAATACCCCTTAGTTGAAATAAGAAAAAGTGATACTCTTAAGGGGACCACTTTATTTCTTATTGAAAGGACCCTTGCTTTCTTACCGAGTTCGATTTAGCATTTCATTCTTGAGTCATCTGTCTCACAAACCTGTCAAATTAAAAACCAGGATAAAATTTTGTGTAGAATTTTCAAATTGTACGTCAGCGGTTCAAATAAATACATATTTTAATAATCGGTTAATCTTTATGATAGCACAAAACTTTAAAAAATCTTAGGTTTTCAATTCTCTACAATAGATTCAAAAGTAAGTCTAAGATTTGAAAAAAATCTTTCGTTTGACAATAGATTGACGTCTCTTTCATTTCAGCGGCCATTGAATCTGGATCCCCCAGTGACATATAACAAAAGTCACACTCGCATTTTCCTGCTTACCAAGGTATCTAAGGAATCTTTGGGAAAGTTGTAAATGTCTAGTGCCTGCTTAGGATAAGACGCATACCTGTAATGATTTTTCCTATGACTACCCCAGAAGTGACAGGACTGGAAGACCATACCTTGAAATTGATCAATGACGTTCCCCAGTCTACTAGCCCGCCGTGTTTTTGTTTCTTAAAGCCCAGGCTTGAGCTGCGCTTGACTTCTTGACATATCAACTAAAGGAGGACACTTATCCGATAAACCTTATATATTTCATTCAATATTGACATTGGGCTTTGTTCAAATAGGTGTGAGTTTCACAAGCGGCATTTTGATATAGCATTTTCTGACTACCTGTGTATTTCGATAACAAAAGAAAGAAGGCACTCTCAAAAGAAAATTACACCTAGCTTCATCTATAGAATTAGAACAAGAGCCACACAATCCTTTAGTAATATAATCATGGGGTGACCGAGAGTTTGGGATGGACCCATGAATTCCAGTATATTAATCTTTTGGCTTGACAAGTATTTTCTGCTCTGGTGCTGTGTAAATTAACAAACACTATTCTTAATCTGTTGCGTTTTAGTGAGTCAGTGTGCTTATGTGTGTGTAAATGATCATTGCAAGCTGACCGCATGTCTACACTTTTTTTCGCCTTTTTCCTCACATTCTAGCAAACATTAACCGGGAAAGTAATAATATATTTAAGAATATTAATCGAAAAATCAGCTGACACTCTATTTCTTGCTAGCATAAAATCGAAGAGAAATAATGTCTTTATCTCATTAACTTTACCACATTTGCAGCAATACATGAATCTTTTGGTTTTGCTTTCTTCTGATATGACCTATTTTGGTGAAAAATTAATTTTGATTACAATATCAATCATCATTTAATATGAGAGAGGTGCAACAGATTGTTCAAGAATGCGATAGTTGTGACAACATGGTCCAAACCATACTTTGGCAATTGCGATACGGGGTTATGTATGAAACACGCACAATGGCAGCTTTTTGTTCTTGTGCGTTTTTCAATGGCAATACAGATTAAAATGACGTATGGTGCCTCTGCTTTCTAAGTCAACTCTTGACCTAATCCACCCTCGGACCATAGGTCTACATCTAAACATAATCCACAAATATTGTGTTCCGGAGTAGAAGGACCTACCCCTGTATGCTTGCGGATATCCTGTAGCTTTACTTTTAACAAGTGACTTGCAGAAAGTTTCTGGGTTTATAAGACGACAATTCCATGTTGCGGATTCACATTTAATATTACACACGAGCTACAGGTAGGGCGAGGCTTTGACATTCAAAATAGCGTAATCTATCATTTTGACACCAATTAAATGAGGTACGTTTTTGCAATTTTTTAATACATCTTTAACAATACTATTACTACTAGCAATTTATAATGATAATTTTAATGGTGCACCTAGAATCCGAGACTAGTTAAGCTGATTTTAATTCCAAAAAAAATTGAACACTTTAATCAACAAATATCACATTTGGGCCTACCGCTAAGACGTCCCGTGGGACACAGTATGTTGACCTACACTCGGACATGCACCTGTCACAAGTACAGGTATTCATTAAGCCAGATTTTATCACTGAGCCTTACAGAGTGCCATCGTGAACTAGAGAGTATAGGACGATGGTACTACTGGTTGGACACGGTCGGACAATGCTTTTTCTCCTCTTTGGCGCACTTTCAGGTAATAGTGCTTTAGATTTTGTTAATTTATCATGAAATAATTTTTAAGTCACACTTGTTCCTGTGAGCCAGTTTCAGTGTTTTGAGTAGGGGCACTAGAATAACTCCAAAATAAGTCCCGATATGCACAGTATATATATGTACATGTATTAGTAATTTAGTATATCATGCAGTTAAATATCAATAAATACATTCTCTTGTGTAATATGGGTATAAAGTTTTGTTCATGTATTTGGTGAATCATCATTTCTGATTTTTATACGGTAAAATTTCACTTGAAACACGATGCGAACCCGAAACCGCGGCCAAATGTGCAGGGTCGCTGCTGTGTCATGTTAAAAACGCCAGGAACAATACTGAAACAAGAACCACTTGTCTTGGTGACATATTTATATATGTATTTGTACTATTTATGTGGACGGTTGCAAGTGAATGACGCTGTTTCAAAATATTCCAAGTTACGCACATGATGCATCACATGCAAATAGCGTATTAATGCATTTTTAATCCCCACAAACTGTAGTTACTGCGCAATAAATGCAGTTAAATCGTACTTTAACATCTTGTTTTGTTTCAACTTCACTGTAGTCATCTGCGGTACATTGGCGGCTATTCCCCCAGGATGCACACCATTGAACAACAAAGTCTACTCTGACAAAAACCCAGCCACAATATACGAGGCCAATGCCGAGCTTCTTGGAGTGGCGCCTCCTTCCAAACGTTTTGGCAAGATGCGCTCACAGGGTGCCCTGCCGACGCACCATTTTGCAATCAATCAAATGAAAAAGGGAATGGTTCCAATACGACAGTTTCCGTTTTCCGGTGAGTGTTCAGCAATTATATTAATTAATTCTCCACTGTAAGGATTAGACTGAGATGGAACTTAACTGTGTTTTTCAATAAAACAGTTAAAATGCAAGAAATACAGATACCCCGAAGCTTCGCTCCTCTCACAAGGCTTTCTTTTTGGTTGATACGTGTTTCTTCTTCCCATATTTTATTGTATCAATGAATATATGATTTCAGTCGTTATGAGCTCGGATGGAATAACATACGACGCCTATCCAATGGACCGTTGGAACAAAGCTTCCAGAACTGACGAGATGCAGCAGCAGACGCTGACCAAGGTTGGGGAACCTTGGAATAAAATAACTAGTATGGGAACCAACGCTAAACAAATGGTAACTGGACCGGACGGAAATCCCTTCGGTACTTTTTCCGGTGGGTGTAATATCGGTCCTCCTCTACAGGGGAATTTAAACTGTTTAAGAAAAATAATCATTCTTGTCAACAAACGCTTGTCGTTTCCTTATATTGTGAAACGTGTATCTGAATTTCTCCAACTACCCCCCATGAGAAAAGATCCGTAAAATTCCTAACGACAAAACTGCTCTCAAACTTTCGTTTACCTTATAATACTTATACACTTGTTCGACCATTTTTTTTACAGAATTTTGGATCGAAATAATGAATTTCTTCGAGGTAAATTTATGCTCCGTACTGTATGACTATTTGTGAAAAAATATTTCATATTGAAAGGAAAATCCGGAGTACGTGTCGGTATTGAGAACAGCGGGGATGCCAAAGTCACTGCCATGGGGGAGATGTATGCAAATTTTGAGTTTGCGAACAACAATGGTGGAAATATGGAGGTAAAAATCTAATCAGAAATGTTTAATATTACTAAAAAAACAGAATATATAAATTAATAATCGAATACTGATAGGTTCATTCAGTCAAATTCCTTAATAATATCGTTCCTCATGTAATTTTTTAGGTTCCTTTGGTGCGTGGAAGTCCAATTCTCACGCATTTATTTACCAATGCGAATCCACAAGTAACAGCCTTCTGCCTTGCTTCCATCAACGGAAACCCAGTACAGTCGTCTTGTCCAGTGGAAGCTCAGGGTAATATGGACAAGCAAATTTTTATCTTTATTCATTTTGCTCACTTTCGGTCAAATCAATGATGACGAACAGGTTTATTGTCCCTTTTTGTTATCCCTGTTTTATCTGCGCCAATGTTCTCGTGAGAATCAATGACAGATGAGAAATGGTACACTCATCCTTATCAAATATTAACTCACTTGACCACTCTTCATGTCATCCGGTCAACGATTTACACCGAAAAGAGCTGATAAGTGTTAAGTCTCCTTATGGGAAACTGTTTATTATTATTGTTATTATTATTATTATTATTACTATTCATTAAAACGGTAAATAAGAAATGCGGCACATTACGCTGATTAACAAGTAAAAGTATGAATATAAAGGCAATCCTGTTGACGTTGTAATCCACCGTTCACGTTTCCAGGGCGAGATGGGGGTGAAGGCTACACCTCCGCCAGCTGTGATGGCTCTAATCTTGTAATCACTCTGTACATGACCAAACAACAAGATATTAGTAAGATCCAGTGGGCCGCAGCGCCATCTTCTGCCTGGAGAAGCAGTCACGGCATGCACACGTGCAAGGACGAGTGCACCGTAAGCAACGGTGGAAAAACTGTGACCATAAGGACACATGTAACTGGAGGTGGATTTGAATTTACACTTCACTTATCTTGGTTTTCTTCAATTTTATCTGATTTCACACATGCATGTCTTTACCAAATACCAAATACGATTTTAAAAACTCATGGAACCGCATTTAAATGCAATTATTATAAATATATATACAACAAAATTGTGTTGAATATTCCTTTTTCCACCTCGTTTTAGGAACATTCAGCTTTGCTGTCAACGTCATTGGTAGTTACATATTGCCCTACGGAAGAAGCTGGATAGACCAACCAATCACCCATACTTGCGGCAATCGAGGAAAGCGAGCCGCGGAATTGGCATGCTCAAAGTCATTCTGCCACTTCCCAACTTGTAATATCCAAAACGGCAAGAACAACTTCCAGTTGACCATAAAGCTGGACAGGCCAGTTAAAAAGGTTGAAGATGTCCAGTTTGCAGTGGCCACAGAGAATAGTTGGGATGGACATCATCCTATGCTCTCTTGCAACGCCAATACTTGCCAACTGTCCCAGGACAAGAAGACGGTGACGACTCGCAGATTGCTGAACTCGGCCACGCCAGTTAAGTATGCAGTTAACGTAATTGGAACGTTCATTCAGCCACCGAGAAATTGGCACGAATTGCCATTTAGACATGAATGCGGGTCTTCCCCAACTTCTTACCCAGTGCCGCCAACGACACCAAGCCCCAACCCCATTATACCGGGTTCATCTGTTGATTCTTATCTTGGCTATTCTTGCAAACAGAGTTTCTGCCACTTGCCTGTCTGTGTAGTGAATGGTGCTGGATACGATGTCGCTCTTATTGTTAAGCTTTCCCAGCCTGTCAGCGACCTCAACAAGGTCCAATTTGCCTTTCACACGCAGGACACATGGGCTAGTCACCATTACATGGCCACGTGCTCTCAGTCTACATGTAAACTTTCCAGTGACCACAAAACTATTATCTACCGAAAATACAGCCCTTCCAGTAGGGTTAGTTACGCTGTCAATATTATAGGCCGATTCGTCATGCCACCAAGTAAGTGGACTGAAACGCCTTACGCCCATGACTGCAGGAATCCTCAAACGACCCCGAGACCCGGAGTGCCATCCCAAAACACGGCAAACACAGCACCACCAACTGTAAAACCTCGCCCCGTGAACATTGCCCCGAATACTAGGTTCGTCTTAGAGTTAAATGAACCAGGAAACAAACTGCCACAACAAACGCGAAAGTTTGTGCTGTACTTTTCTGAGGCGATGACCTATCGTGTTGGCTCCAATGGGCAGCTTGAGTTCGCTCCCCAAGCCGGAGGGGTTTTCAACGGCGTATTGCAGATGGCTTATGGTGGAGCAAATGTACGCGGAAATTTGGATATGGCTAGTTTTCATGACAAGTACATTGGTGTTTATCCATATAAACCAGATACTAGTTACTGCGTCTCTGGAGACAAGGGATACATCAGCTTTGACTGGAACAAGAGAATAGTGAATGGCATGGGAGGGACTGGTCAATTGCTGATGATGCTTATGCCTCACCATGTGAGTTTACAAATATAGTATTGTACCAATAAGCTACTTCAGTTCAACTGCTGTTTCGTTTCGACATCAAAATAAATTGAATTTTTTTATAAATGTAACTTAATGCAATTAAATACAAACCTCTAAATAGTCTCTGACATCACCAAATGCAAAATATCCATGTATGTTTCAGACAAAGTTATGTACTATTTTGCACTGTATTTTTAATTGATACCAAATGAGTCTTAGTCATTTTTATTGCGTAAAGATTATGAATATGTCGAAAAGATGTGCTTTTCGAAATTTTAGGAGCAACTTTTGAAATCCCCTGCAATCCTGAATGTCAACACTCCCTACACATTCAAAGTAGCTGTAGGGGACAGTTGGCAACAAGAGATGCCTTTGTTACCTGCCTCAATGGAACCAGACGTTAGAGACGTGAACAAAGTTAAAGCAAACAGCGCTAGACGGCAAGTAAGTGACTTCAATAACTTTTCAAAAGTCGTTATAGTTTTTTACGTAAATTTTATTTGAACTCCTTATCTCCTTCTTCACAAAACATTAATCATTATCATTTTAGCTTTGCTTCTGAACTAGTGTAGAACATAGAACAAAACATTATTGGTTCATAGATAGAAAAAATGGGTCGCATCACTTTTTAGGAAAACAATAGGAGCAACACTTCACTAAATGAAATTTCTGATAACATTTTCGCATCTTTTGTCTTATTCCAAAATCACATCCGTTTCTTTCTTAAAGGACATCTTGAATGCTATTGCCACTGACACCGCACAGCTCCCCCTGTCTTCCGTGTGCGGTTACGCTGACAGTTATGGTGTCGGCAAGTTCATCTCTGCGGCTGCGCGAGTGGCTAGCATCTCACGTGCTTTTGGAACCAACCATTATCAAAAATTGGACGCTCAGATCAAAAATTGTTTGGAAAAATGGCTTCGTATTCAAGGTCAGTTATAGTACACAAGAAAGGCACAGACTTAGGAGTTGATAAAAAAAACTTTTTGATTTTTTTTTCAAGCAAGTCATACGTACATCCAGAATATTTATCTGCCTTGAGTAACACTATCTCTGTGAAATGTTAAGATTAAAGGTTTTCTTACCAAAACATTGTTTTTTCGATCTATTATTATTTGTACTAAAAAAAGGTGAATTAATTTTTCTTGCATTTAGATACCCTAAGCGACGGCAACAAGTTTCGTTACGACACAGTGTGGGGAGGTCTTCTCCTGCGCAGTGGTCCTGCCGGTCAACCGATCAACCCCGGAGCCAGCTTTGGATTCCCCATCTACGCAGATCACCACTTCCACTTGGGCTATTTCCTGTATGCCGCGGCTTATTATGCTAAATACTATCCAAGTTGGGCAAACAGTAAGATACTTTCCCTTATTCCTATTATTCAATAGTATTTTTAACAAAGAACAAGATGTTTCGCTACTCTTGTATTGGTGGCATTTATAATTTTAACGTGAAGAATTACGAGTATTGGTGGGCTTGGATCAACGTGATTAACCCGATTTTGTGTATTACTATTATGTCCTACACAAAAATACTCCGCTAATTATGATTTTGTACTTTAAACTCAATGTATGACCTACATAGTTATTTAAATCGCGACGTGCATGTGTATTTGCTATAGTTTCAAAATAAGGTTTGTCTCCTGCGTGTGTCACTGTGAAGCGAATGCACTTTACCACCCCCATTACCTCTCGTTTTAGTCCACAGAGAGCGCTTAACCCTGCTGGCCAGAGACGTCGGTAACCCCAGCAAGAATGACCCTTACTTCCCCGTTGTTCGACACAAAGACACCTATACTGGATTTTCCTGGGCTACTGGCATACACGGCGGCGAGAGGCAAGAGGAATCCTCCTCCGAGGTTAGAAAGTCCTCGTGCTTCTCCGAAATTATGTAAAGATTTAATAACGGATGTCATTATAGTTTCTTTGGTTTAAACTTAATCATTTCCAATTTTACTTTGAAATGATAATGATTGTTGTCATCTCTTTTCTCTTTTTTGTCCGTCTTATTTTTCAAATTAAAGAATACTATGCATTTATATCATCAGTAAATCTGTATACTTAACAATATCAATAAAACGAAGAATGCAACATTCATCTAGAAATCACTCCTTTTTTTTCGATCTCTACTATTTTGTAGGCCATTAATTGCTATCACGGCCTGGCGGCATTGGGTTTATCTCTTGGCGACAGGACCATGCAGCACATGGGACAGTTGATGTTGACCCAAGAGCTGTATTCAGTGAGAGAATATTGGCAAGTGCGTCGTCACAATCGTCATCTTTTCCCACCAGTCATCCAGGATTACGGAGTCGTGGGCATGCTGGCCGAAAACAACTACTTTCTTTACACGTTGAACTGGCCTTGTGAGCCAAATTGGTTCCCCATGAGGCATGCCTGTCTGACCGGGATCCAGATGATACCACTCACCGCTGTCTCCAAGTACTGGGTTGACAAGGCAAGTTTTTTAAAAATATTTATTTGTTTAATTACTTGGTTTTGGTCGTTATATCCATACTTTCATAATTTTGTTATTATTTTTCATTTGTTTATTTTTTATTTCTCCTTCTTGGCATTTTTGCGTTAACTCACCACTGTTGACTTTCTCTCTCTCTCTGTCTCTCTCTCTCTTCCTCTCTCTCTCTTTCCGAAGGTAGCCCATGGAATGGAATCTTTTTTTAATATTGTCAAACGTACTTGCAAGTTAGACAGTATGGAATTTTTCGCCAGGAATGGTCTGCCTCCATCAAGAATACGTGTTCGTGGGCTGTGAACCCTACGTCCGCCCCGGGGTCTAACTTAGTAGATCAATCCAAACTAAGACCAGTTGCTTCGGTGAGTGTCTGTACATTCTTCTTAAATATTCAATGATTTTAACCTATATATGATTAAAATTAATTCATTTTCTATAAAACAGCACCGAACAGTTCATTGTGGGCAGTTCCAATTACCAAACAACTTTTTAGCAAAATGAAGTACACATCGAGGAATTTATTTGTTGAAAATGTGAAATTGTCTTGTATCTTTATTTACCCAATAATCTCTCCGGGTGCAGCTTTTTTCTTTTTTCTCATTTGCCTGATAACAACTTTTATTGAAGGGTTGGGGTGCTTTCTGTCACGCTGCTATGTCAAGATACGACGCCGCTCACCAACAGAGGGCAGCAGCATACGTGAAGAGACTTGGTGTGAATCAGCTGGTAGGGGGCACCACAGTCAGCAGCACTCTGCTCTTCATTTATGAGGCAGACATCAGTGTGGACAGCGCAACAGTGCCTATCATTGGAAAATAATTCGATTTTTGTAAAATTGATTTTTTATTGAAAATTTGTGTGTATTTTAAATTGCATCCTTTTAACCAATGTATTTTCTCGAAAAAATAATTTAATGTTTTTGCGAATTGAATCACTCCTCATTTTTGTGCGTGTGTGTGGGGGGGGGGGGGGAGGGAGGAGGGCATGAGATTCTCAAAAGCATGCTGCTATGTCTCTCATATCTCAGTGAGATTATAATAAAACAGTAAGAAAAGCTGTTGTAATCAAACGAGTTCTGTCGGGTCATTTTTTTCATCTTATAACATGACATGGTAATCCGGTCTATGGGTGCAGGGATCTGTAGACGCAAGGATATCAATATTAATATTAATGAAAAGTTATGTATCGATGTAAAAACACACCGATTCGTGGAAATCCTGACGAATATCTGCTGGATCGACTATTTTGCCCTAGAACACCCCAACACCCCTCCTCAATAAGTAAATAAATAAAACAGAAAAAATAGATAAAATAATACATGCCGCTGGGATTTTCAGTCAGACTTAATTTCAACTGTACATGTACCAGTAGTCATCATTCCCCCATTTATTTTCCATAACTTTTCAATTGCTATTCTCTTATATGCAAGCATGCGGCTTTACTGAGTACTCAAGCGTTTATTTTTTTCCTTTTTTCCTCTGAGGTCTTCAAGGGGCTGGGGCTTTCGAATAAAATATGACAATTCATTGACGTTTTCGCGGTGAAAAGAATTTCAAAGTATGTAGAAATGAGATATTCTTTGAAGCAAATCCTTTAAAGTTCAACTAAAATCCAATATAAGACCAAGTTTGGCAAAAGCACAAATTTTATCATGACCAAGGTTATTCTTATATTTCGCCTAGTCTATTACGATAACCTGTATACCTTTGGACCAGTGGAGTAAAATGTATACAATGTCATCGTAGATAGGCAAAGGTCACACCAATGACCTATATAATATTAAAGCCCCTATACAGATACAGCAAGCTGATTAAGCTGCAGTATTTTGTACCTAGGCTCATTACACATACCTGCTACAGGAAATCTCTCATATGTATCAAAGCGATGCTTCCTTGCTCACGATGTGCCTTCACACATTGAGTGGCATATTATTGTTTATTTTGGGACTCGTGTCTCAAAATGCTGCACCGAGTGTTGACCCTATCGACTTGTACTATTGTCGAGACGGTCTACAGATCTGCTGCGATCCCTCACAAGAAGCGGTCAGCGGGCATGGTCGCACGACTGCAGGGTTCATCGGAGACGGCACCCTGACGCAGCTACGTTGGCCGTCTCCCAGCTACGACGATCACCTTGACTTCCGCATTGAGCTCACTCACGAGAAGGCAAGCCAGACACCGCGGAAGGGTGCGCGAGAGAACCAAGGCGCAGCGGATGGGATCTTGTTCGATTCGGGAGGTCGCTTATTTCGAAACAGCTCCCACTTTATTGTGGAGACCACCGGGTATCTGAACGACAATACGGACATTTTCCGAACCCGATACAAGTCGGATGACAATCCAGCAACCCCTAACCAGGAACCATTGTACACAGCGGACTGTGTCTGGTTTATAGAGCCCGACATAGATGTGCTGGTAAGGCGCTGTAACATCACCAGGATTAATAAACCCGTAGGCACCTGGGGATATATATTTTATATGAACCCAGCTTTGATGAATAGAGATATTCACAACTGTTCTGTGGCCAAAAAGGACTGTTTCCCCGCCTACGACTGGAGCTCCTTGATTGGATCCATAGAAGATAAAGACGCCGTGCATGGATTCTCTCTAGTTTATGATGATAAGGCAGGGCTTTTTATGAGCGCTTTACCAACAGACCCAGGTAAACACAAAAGTGAGTACTTAAAGCAAGTACAGATGCTTAACATTCGAACGCTAAACCCTCGGGATTGGGCAAAAACCGTTGACAGCACTTGGGAACCAAGAGTGGCAATGGCTGTTGGTAGTTCCGATGATTTCGGCCCATATTATTGTGGCGTTGACCACAGTTACAATGAATACCTTCACTACGATGACGCGTTCGATGTAATGACCCATTTTAATCTCAACCAGCAGACTGGTCGTAACCCATTGTCACATGCCTCCCCTGGGCATGAGAATTTCTTTGGGGCTATTATGTTAAACGAAAAAAATGCAAAATCTAAGTGGGAATGGGACGTGTCTATTTACATAGGACTTGGGAGTAATCTTGCTGAAGCTCGGCGGAAGGTTCAGTTGGCGAAAAACTACCCGGGTGGACCGGGAGCCATGCAAGCGAACGCAGAAGCAGCAGATGGAGAATTCCTTAATAAATGTAAAAATAACCCAGCATCCAAAATGACCGCTCCACAACAAGAGACATACATGCCTATGTTTAAACGGTCCTTGTTGACTGTAAAATCGGCCCAGACGCTTGCAACAGGTTCACTGGTGGCAGGGACGTCAATGACTCGGTGGCATAATTTCGAATGGCCGAGAGACACGTCATTCCCCCATTACTTACTTACTGTATGTGGTGGGTATGATGAGGAAGTAATGTCTCATGGGAGATTTCTTGCTTCTATTCAGAGGCGACATGACTTCCAGGACTATCAACCCGGTGGCGTCTTGCACAATGACTCATTGAACTACTCCCCGGCTGGGTCCTATGCAATGTGTTATTTCAGTGATGGGTGTGCCACGGGACCGGTGAACTTCGAAATCGACGAAACGGGGTTTGCCTTGTGGGCAATGTGTATGCACATTCCTCGAATATCGATTCAGGATGCGACAGAGTACTGGGCAGTTATTAAGGAATCCGTGTTTCGTGCCGCAAACCTGCTTACTTACAGATGTAAAGACCCAACAAACGGCCTCCAATGCCTTTCCAGCGAAGACGATACTCCGTTCTACACGCAAGGAGGAGAGGGTGCCTCAACGATCATGTTGGGTTTGCTGGCCGCATCTGAAGCGGCTGCCTTACTGAAAGAACCAGAAGAAATATGGCGACCTTGGCATGAACGAGCAATTGAGCTAAGCACCGCCATAAAGAAAAACTTCTTTGAACCATCCTTTTTTAATGCAACGCAATTCATGAAACCAGTGCTACCATATACGGTATGGCCACTCCCACTTTTAAACCCCTCCAACCAATCAGATCCCATTGCGCAAAGAATGTGGAAACGCGTTGTCACATTGGGGGTTGACCTTCTTCAGGCTCGAGTTGTTGATCCCAAGCCAGGGATGAATGCTGGATATGACGCAAACTATATAATTCCCCTTTTAATGTTTTTACCAAAAGATAGCAGCGACCGCCAAATAGTAGAGAAAGCTATGAACGTGTCAATCCTTGAAGTTCCCCATTTCAATCATCTTGGGGAGTTTTATGTGTACAATGGACCAAACCCTGTGGGGAAGCCTCTTTGGAGTAATAGAATTGCCGTCCCTCAAGTGTGGGCGGGTTCTCTGCAAGCCTTAAGTATATATGCCAAATTCTTCCCAGAAGCCCTCTTTTTCCCGCAACTTTGAAATGCAATTCATGATGTTTATGGGCGTTGAACATTAATATGAAAATAAGTGACATGATCTCAGCAAATTACAAAATATGCAAATTTTACATGTACCTAACATACATCAGTTAATACCGGTATCATTTTTCTTATACATGTCTTTTTGAATTAGAAAGGAAATTTCAAAATGAATTTAAGTCGATTACGAATAATTGAAATATTTTGCATTATTTTGCACTTCCTTATCACTTCATAGTTGCGGCTTGCAATAGTTATAAGATTAAGAATGCGGTGCTATTTGGACTATATTTTCCGACACAGCTTTATGTGTAACGTGCGATTAATAGTCTTGAGTCTTCAAAATAAAATATTGTAATAAAAAAATGGAAGCCGTACATGTATTTGACAAGGAGAGGTTATCAATGTTATGGCCTCCACCGACATACAACAAATTTAGTTGTCCCTGTAACCATGCCAAAGCGTATTTTTGAGAGGAAAGAATGCTGGCTTAAAGACAAAGATATGTAACCTTGGTTTGTTACTAATTTTTGAGAGAACGGCGGCTTGAATACACAACAGCTAAAATTGTGTTTTAGATAGTCTTTATTCCTCTCATACGGACTACAGGCTGGCACGCAGGCAGGGACAGTCGTGACGATCCCCCGGGGTCTCTCTCTTTCTAATTTAGTTTTCATAGTTTTTATAGGAAATCGTACTGATTCCTGCGTGCCGTAAATTTATTAGTAAGCGTAAATAACTACATCCGATATAAACGGTCGATCAGTAAAACTAGATACAGGGACTCCAATATTTGTTACCGTTACCCTGAATATGGATATATATACATGTACTCCGGGTTGGAAGGTTACATAACGCTCGGACCTGGGACTGGCTTTAACGAAATTATCTCAGGTGTGGTGACTGTTTTTGGTGGAAGAGATCAAAAGAGCCAAATGGAAATAATGAGGCCAAAGTACCTCTACGATTTTAGACTCGACACCGGGTCTTTTTCTGTCATCTGAAAGGGGTGCACCTTCAATTATCTAAATTACTCTATCGAGACTTTTGTTTCTAATTTTGGTTTCTCTCCTGTGATTGTGAATGTAATTTAAAGACAGACAAATTGTTTAACACTGCCGTGTTATAGATATATCACAAATAAAAAATGAAGGAAAAACGTTTTGAGCATTATGTTACGATGTTATACAGGAGAGGGATATTCTAATTCAAATTTTGCATTTTAAACGTTATGCTACCCCGTGACAGTTACATTTGATACTTACAAAGAGCCTCTCTTTAAACCCCTTTAAAGTACATGCACGTGCATATATCATCTTTGCCTAAAGCAGTATTGCCAGTTTTTTTTTTTTTTCGTAACTCTCTCATATAGGAATTAAAAGACAGGTATTCATCCTCAGTAATGCAGAGTGAGTGACTTTAGACCGTTTTACTTCGTTAAAGTGTATTTTTTTCAAAAAATTTGTCAAATGTATGATACATACAATTCCGATTCGTTTTATCCTCTAAAATCTTTTTTTTCTTCAGATAAATTACCCCCATTTATTCTCAAAGAATAAAAATAGTTCTCTTTCATCTAAAATTTTAATCATATATGACTCGTTACCTATAATCGTTGACCCGTCACTTCTATATAGTTCTATTGACAAAAAAAGAGCTTTTCATACGAATTCCGCAATGATAATGGTTTTGTTACAATGACAGCGATGAGTAGGAGCTTTTATTCACTGACCTAGTTTTCACATAAATACGAAAATATTCACACTCTGCCTCTCCCTACGGATCACGCGTTTACTTATTTTCTGTACATCATTTTTTTTTTTTTTGTGTCTTCTTAGAAGTCTTCAATTTTACGAGTACTTCGTAAATCAACTATAAACATGTCCTTGTTAGACAATTTCTTTGAGTACTTGTTTACTTTCCTGATACTTAATATCTTGAAATATTACTTCTTTCATTTGGGAAGTTCACGAAGTCCAGTTTGCAGCTGTTATCTACGTCGCGCAAAACTGTTTTTTAAAGATAGCCATTAAACTAAACTTGTGTGACTTTAATATTACATTTTCCATTCTTACCAAATACAAAAACAAATTTCGCGTTGTATTTGCACTGAATAACTTGATGGGTTTGTACTCGTTTAAATTTACTTTATCTATATGCGATTGATGAACGCGGAACCGATTCAGTTCACAGCAGTTTTATTAATTCGCCTTGTGTTAAAGTTAAGTCTCCTCACACCATTTCCTCCAAAATTATGCAAATATGATATGTTGTTACTTATTTGCATTCAAACTGGTGCAAGTCTATAAATATGTAGGCCCCTATGTAGGCCGTATCACATAAAAAGGTTTCAGATTACATTTTGAAGGAGAATGCCACACTATTTTCACACATTTAAACCATAAACCCTTCACTAGTTCAGAGCAATGTGAATTGTATATTTTTGATGGCCATTACATTCATATTTTCCAAAATTGCTAGAAAAAATTGGCGTTTGACGACCTCTGGTTGACCCATGACCTCTACATGACCCATGACTAACTGCTGCAGGTGTTAGAACATTAAAATCACTATATTTCAGCTACCATACAGGGGGGGGGGGCAGGGGGGCAGCTGCCCCCCCTGGAATTTGGAATTTTACACACCACACTCTCCCCCCTCGGTAGCTTCGCCCCCTCGTGTCCGCTTACTGCCCCCCCTGGCATTTTGCTCAGGCTACGGCCCTGCCATAACATTATTATTTGCCTTTCCCAGCCTAATTTCTCAGTGCTATTCTTACACTTTATAAGCAATATCACTCCCCTACCGCATATTACAAAAATGCATTCATTTTTACTAAAATGTTAACATATACAACTTTCTCATATGATTTGCAAAAATATTGGTCTTAACATAAGACCTATAGCCTGTATATCTAACTTTGCTTTTACTTTAGTTTGAATCAATCTTCGTCACGTATTACTCCCCCTCCCCTCCCCCACACACACACATACTCAATGACAAAGCCGTAGGGCCTAAGTAGGGCGTCTATGTTCAGCTCAATTTACCATGCCAAAGTCAGTATCCTTGTACTCTGCAAACTCCTTCATCTTTTTTACAAGCCAGGGGCCATATTTCACTTTCTCTCCGTCGACTTCACCGATAACCGCATCGAAAGATGGTTCGAAGAAAAAGGGTACAGAGAACCGATCCACTCCTAAGTCTACAACGCGATGTCGGGTGGCCTTGTATTTCCCCTTGGTCATTCGGGCCAGCATGTCGCCAATATTCATCACAAGGGCATTTGGGCGTGGCTCCACGTTCACCCACTGGTCATCTTCGTCTCGTATTTGAAGCCCCCCGTAGTGGAATGTAGAAAGGAGAGTAACAAAACCAGAGTCAGTGTGGTCGGAGCAATGGAGGGTAAAATGGCCGTCTCGCGCCTGGGGAATAGGCTCACAGTCTCGTGGTGGGTAATGCAGTAGCCGGAGCGTCGACAGCGGTTTCTTCATAAATAGACCATCGAACGTGTCGTTCTCCATACCAAGACTGCAAGCTATGAGGCGCATCACTTCCATGCCGCAGTTAGACATGGTTTCATGATACTTCTCCATGAAATCGCAGAAGCGAACGCCGTCCTTTGAGTTTTCCTCGGGCCACTGATTTGGTTCATACAGCGCTATTTGTCGATCGCGGCTGTCACACGAGCTAAGTGCACGGCCAATTTCATATCCCTCTTTGTATGAAACCTCATTTCTAACAGATGGGAAATACCCCCGATACACATTCTTAGACGCCGGGTTCCATCTCTTTGTAGCCAGCTTGTTTTTTGTCGAGAGCGGGAGAGAGAAAAACCATTGTGTCATTCGGTGCAGCTCGTCCGAATCGAAATCGGGGACTTTTTCTAGGCAAACAAAACCCACGCTCTCTAACGCAGCGCCTAAACGCGCGGCCGTTTCCGCACGTTTGGCCTTTGCCGCAGACATGTCTATGACGGGGATGTGGACATGCTCCATCTTGCAATGTTCCAGGTAAGCAGATAAACTGGTGTATGTAGGCGGAGCTTGTATCTTACCAATGACCTAAGATGGATCCGAAGATCTATCTTGAATCCCAGCAAAGATATGGACATGCATTGTATAACATAACGTAATTAATGTATACTTCTCATTATCTGGGTCCAGTAAGCCACTGTATCAAGATTATGGTAGTGCTCTGGACAAGTACGAGTGTCGTCTTGGTTCACCTACATGCATTATGTAGCCGGGGGCCATGTCAATACAGCATTGGTCAAAAGGTTGCCCTACTTTCAGTTCCATCTACTTTTATTTAGCCCTACTTTTAGTTCCATGTACTTTTATTTACAAATAATCACTTCACAGGTGTAAATTGTTATGGATTGTAGACAGTTCTTTTTATTCCAGATGTCATTTCTAACATGATTAGTGGTACAGAAAATAGCGGTGAAGATATCCGCACTTTACCGTTTATTCAAATTTATAAATATAACTTGTATCCCCTCAAATTTGACGTCATCCACATATTGGTGTGGTTTGTGGAAAAAATCTCGATTAACCGCAGGAATATCCTAAGTGGTGCTGTTTTTATGCTTTCCAATCGCCTTAAATTTGGTTTGACCCCACCCCTTAAATATTCTTTAAACACGCCTGACTGTAAAATTTAGTTGCTTTGCTCATTGCACATTTTTGTAAAATATTAAATTCGTCTACTGACCCCGTTTATATAGAGTCGCCGCTCGTTAGCTTACTTATTAATTTTGTTTAGCCTAAGTTTAATCGTTTTGGCTACGTAGATGACACGTGTCACTGCGCTTTTATTTGTGCACATACCACAAATTTGCTTATTTATGCGTCCAAAGTTAAACATTTCTACGAAGTCTGCGATAAAGGCCACGATTTATCGCTCCAACACCGGTTCTTCTTCTTCTTCTTCTTATTTTTATTATCCATCAATACAACGAACTGAACGGTGCATAGGTTATTTTTTATTATTTGTTAAAACACTGTGTGTTAAATAAATAAATAAATGAGTGTGTAATCTATGTACCGTAGGCCTAACCACTGTAGAAGAACGAAGTGAATTACTAAGTGTACTAGTACATGTACAGACATTTCTTTACATTTCTTTAAAAAATCACAAAGATGAGCTGTACGGTAGTGTTGCACACGAAGCTTGACATGACAAAGCAGTGGTCTTCTTGATTGCTAAATGTCACAGGGTGCTTTTCAACATGTTTGTGTTAGACTAGCGCGCCCTGTAGTCAGAGAGTACCAAAGCAGGAAGGTTTTACTAATTGTTTTCTTATTTTCCTAAAACATTTTAATATGGGGGGGGGGGTAGTTTTGACAAAAAGGATTACAGATATAGGCCAATATTTTTTTGATAAAAAATGTGTTTTGAATATCGTATTTTAACCAAAGGGAATTTATGCTGTGAGAAGCACCAATGTGGGGGAGTACCGGTGAGCAGGAGCATCGGTGCGGGGGAGTAGCCTATCGCTGTGGGGACGTTAAGATGCGGGGAGATATCAGGGAGGGGGAATATCGGACCTACTCGTATAGAGACGTATCGTAGGCCTACTGCACTGGGTAATAAGCGAAAGGGACTTACAAATGATAAGTTAGTTAGGTCCATGTGTAAACCAAAGGTCTGAATCTGGACATCTGCTGCCAATGCCTACGTGACCAGTCCTTGTTATCGACCTTTTTACCTACCTTCAAGAGTGAAGAAGAAAAAAAAACACTTTAAAATGAAAGATGTTTTTGATCAGCGTCTTACATATGTCCTACTTATTATTTAGTGGACAAAACCTGGGACTTTATTCTTAATACTCTTAAACCTATTTCATCCGTGCTCCTTTGCCTAAATGACAAGTACCGGTACATACTGTAGTAGGCCTAAACCTCAAGCCTATTTTTAAGGTTACAAACCACTATTAAAAATCCCATTCACTTCCATTGTAACGTTTAATTCTCTTAAAAATACTTCCCATGCTTCAACAAACACAGCACTTCAGGTTTAAATACTCCTGCTCAAGGCATAAACAATATTTTTAAAAAATCAGGGTGCATTAAATAGTATAGCCTTCCAGTGAAATGACAAGACCCGTAAGGTGCTGCCGCCAGTCGGCCAAAATAAGCACTAAAATGCAGCAGGGGGGAGGGCATGTAAAACTGGCCCCAGGCAGTAAAATTTCAACATGATATGAAAAATAACACATCAAATTAAAGGTAAATGAAAAAATTAATTTTTAAAATTTTATAAATGATCCAAAATTGAAAAATAAACTAATTTTTCTGTTCTATGTTCAAACTTACTAAAACAGGGAAGGCCGGAAGTGACGTATAACCGACATTATGCTGTCGCTCATTCTAAGTTTATTTTTGAATATTTTTGTCAAATGCAACCCAAGTTCACACATGTAATTTATATGAAATAAAAATAAAATCACATATGATTTATTAGTGTGAATATTTTATTATTTTCGTCGATAAAAGAATATATTTTGGTCAAAACTAACTTTTTATTTTCCACTTACATATTCAGAACGAGGCCATCTGATACATTCCAACGAGTACTTAGTGATGAACGACAGCGGTGTAACCTCTTTATAATTTTACGAGATTTAGTATACACAAGACACGGGTAAAAATGCAGCTGAAACACATGAAGACCGTACTAGCCCCTCAGGTGAGTTTGTGTAAAAATAATATGTATTATTACCCCAGACATGGGAAATACAAACACTACAGTGACTAGTTAGATGCTAGTTCAAGTCCGATTACCCATTTCGTCGGTCGATGGATAATTTGGATTCAAATGATAAATGATTTCCTCGCAGTCTTCATTTACTTTTGAATTAAGTGTAATAAATTCGTCATTCCGCTTGACTCCTATTATAATTCCCTACGGGCTTCTCATTTGGCCGAACCGAAATTAAATCAAGAAAATAATAATAAGAATAATAATTATGATATGCTTATTTACAACATTGTGACCAAAAGGTTGAAATTGTACAGATAAACGAGTTTGAATAAAAACTATGAAATTATGTATTTACACAAAGATTTACATTAGGATCAAATTGAGTTTCAAAAAGGCACAAACCTTGAAATGTTAGATAAAAAAGGACTAAATGTGTTTTAGAAATATTTGGTCTTATGTTTTGGTACAAACATAATATTGAAGTTAGATTGATTAAGTCCAAGCTTTCTGCATGTTAAGGTGGTTAAGAGGTTATTTAACCTATCCTTGTCATTCTTTATTTTCTTGAATAGAGTTATGTAATTTTCAATGCTCTCAAATGAAAAGATATGAAAGTGAATAGACACATCACTGACATACAGTGTAAGTCCCTTTAATAAAAAAAAATGAGAAAGATAATTTGCTTCAACTTTAGATAATTGACCTGAAAATTTTGATTTTTTAGGAGGGAGCAGCTAAAATCACTGCCATGGCCTGGTCACCTAATAATCAGAAAATGGCTGTTGTAACATCTGACAGGGTGGTCTTGTTGTATGATGAAACTGGAGAAATGAGAGACAAATTTACTACCAAACCAGCTGATGCAAAGGTAGGTCTTAATCTCAGCTACTTAGCTGAAAAGGTTTGTGGAAATTTTTTTCACATTTGCCAATATTTGGACATTGAGATCCAGGAGAATGTGATCTGGAAGTGAGGAGCTGCCCTGTTAATAGCACAAAATTCGTTCTTTATCACTCCTGTGATGAAAATCATCAATAGAAGTGCATTAATTTCATGCCATCCTACTAAGTAGTAGTACATGAAAGACACTTGCAAAAAACCCTTGTACCATAGGTTCAAATGCTAAAATTCCTGTTTAAGCTTTATATATACTGAGTATATATATATATATATATATATATATATATATATATATATATATATATATATATATATATATATATATATATATATTTACAGGTTTGCCTCATATTGCTGTCAGATCTTTCAGCATAACTCAGACCCCTAAGGCATTAAATTGTGTTGCAGCTCACTCAGTTTGCATGAAGTTTTTGTTTTCTTTCTATGAAAAATGTGATAAAGTACACACACACACATACACTGAAACCAGTTATGATAAGTTCTTATGGGAACTAAAAGGTAACAGTATTTATGACAGTTAAAGCAATTTTACATTTCTCTTTCTTCAGTTTGGAAAGAAAAGCTACATAGTGAAGGGCATTGCATTCTCCCCTGACTCAGCCAAGCTGGCGGTGGCACAGACTGACAACATCATCTATGTCTACAAGATAGGGGAAGATTGGTAAAGAATTAACTTATTTACTTTATCAGAGGTTTTCTGACAGGTTTTAAAATATGCAGTTATATTGTGTGCTCTTGCCTACGGCTTAAAAATTAAAAATTTGCTGACCTCTTTGTATTGACAGGGGTGAAAAGAAAGTGATTTGTAACAAGTTTGTTCAGCAGAGTGCAGTGACATGTCTGATATGGCCACCAGACCAGAACATCATCTTTGGTTTGGCAGATGGCAAGGTATGTCAAAATTATTACTATTTTTGTTCTAGTATCTTAAACATTGTTTTCATTATTTGATTTTTCTGTGAGCACTTTAGATTTATTTAGTAACCATATTGAATGAAACAAGATGAAGAGTATGCTTTGATTCATTCATTTTGGTTTGCTTTGATTTATTTATTTGTATCTAAGTACTTAATAAAGCATTTATGAGATTATAAACCTTGCATTTTCTAAAACTACGAGTCTTACTATTTGTTACTTTAAGGTGCGGTTGGGGAATATGAAAACCAACAAGTCATCTACAATCTATTCCTCGGATTCATATGTGGTGTCGCTTTGCAGCAAGTAAGTTGTTATCAGTTTCACATAATATTTAGTAAACTTTTTTATTCATGTAACTTATATACAACAAAAAGGCTGCTAAAAAAGGTAAACTGCATTTATTTTTCTTCCTAGAAACAAATTTTCCCCTCCCTAACATATATTTATCCCTTTTCGTCAAATGAAAAACAGAATTTATTGCACTCTTCCTTAAATCTTTTGAACTGATTTAGGTGGAACAGTAGAAACAAACAATAGGACCAAGTTGAAAATATATTACAGTGGCGATAATACAAGTTCTGTGGAGTGAAAAAATTCACCAATGGAGCTTGCATTTTTCCTGCAACATTGTAAAAATTACAAAAAGAAATATTGTAGGATGTTATTGACATTTTATATCCCCTCTGCCCTTCCAGTCCATCTGGCAAAGGCATCATGTCTGGTCATGCTGATGGGAGTATTGTCAGGTACTTCTTTGATGATGAGGGCTCTGGAGATGCGCAGGTAGGTTTACCCCACCTCTCCCTAGAGATGCACCTTGATTCAAGACTAACTGAATCAAGGGGGGGGGGAGAAATAAAGCAACAGTTAATTCATCAAAGGGCTACCTGGATGAGTGAGATCATCTGTTTACCCTTCCTTTACCTGGAGATATATATATACTTTGATCAGATTTTTTAAAAAATGTTCTGTACTTCTATCTCGAAAATTTCATGTACTTGTACTCCTTGAAAAGAAATTGTTTAATAAAATTAATATGATCTATCCTTGATTTGCATCATCACACTAAGAAATATTCAGAAAATGGATGAAAAGATTTGAACTTTTATATTTGTAAATAAATATATATATATTCTTTAGGGGGGGGGGAATTGTCCTGGGGGGGAATTGTCCGGGGGGAATTGTCCTGATACCCTTAATTTCGTACTATAATATATGAGAACAATCCTTGGGTGTATACCTATTTACAAGGTACAAATGCCTTAAACAACTGACATTTCATACGTGACAACTTCGTGACAACTCGGTGTTTTTTCTACTTTAGGGTAAAATTGCTGTTCACTCTTGCCCACCCTATGCTCTTGCCTGGGCTACAAATTCCTTCATAGCTGCTGGCTGTGACAAGAGAATAGTGGCATATGGGAGAGACGGCCGCAGCATTCAGCAGTTTGACTACAGCCGGGATGATGATGAGAAGGAGTTCACTACAGCTGTCTGCAGTCCCAGTGGACAGTCTATTGTAATAGGGAGTTTTGACAGGTGAGCCTGGAGAGTGATTATTTGAGAATTCTTCACAGTTAAGGTTTTTTTTTTCCATTATGATAAATGAAATTTTGATAAAAAGTGCTTTGATATTTGGCTAAATTATAAAACCATACACTATAATAAATGCAATATTCTATGCATGTCGTTATTACCAGCCCATAGGTTATACTTCAACCTCATATTGCATGGATTTCTTATTTGTTTCATTCCTGCCCAGATTGCGTGTTTTCAACTGGAGTCCCCGCAAGGCTACATGGGATGAGTCCAAGCCCAAAGAAATCCCGTACCTGTACACCATCACCGCTCTGGCTTGGAGAAAAGATGGGTCCAGGCTCTGTGCTGTAAGGACATATTAACTACTTAGGAAAAAAAAGTAGTTTTACTTGATGCTGCGAAGAAAATCGTTTGATTTTAAATACATATAAGCATAATACTATTGATATATGGAGATTGTAACAGATTTATGCATTATTGGCATCAACCAAGTTATATTTTATCAAATTTTAACATCTCCACCCTGGAAAAAAATGTAGGAATGAAGTGTATATTAAGCCAGCAAGAGCTATCTTAATTTGAAATAAGTTTCTGTACATACACATATAGGAGCTGTTTTTTGTTCACTCTGTTTCATTGTTTGTTTTGTCCTTTTAAGGGCACACTGTGTGGAGCAGTGGAGCTGTTTGACTGCTGTTTAAGGAGAGCAATTTACAAGAACAAGTTTGAAATGACATATGTTGGTCTCAGTCAGGTATGGATCCTTGGTTATTATGCTTCGTCCAATTTTTTAAAAATCTGTAGCATTGCATTTTCCACCCTCCAAATTGTCACTTGAAAAGGTCACTCCTGTCACTCAAACACTCAACCCACATGTGCTTGCACACACACACACACAAGCACACACAGACATTCCCTATATTTATTCATAAAACTTTATGAAACAAATACCTTACTCTTGTGTAGAAGATGGTCAGAAATTCAAATATCATTTGTTTCTACAGGTGATAGTGAGGAACCTGTCCACTGGAACTAGGGTTGTTCTCAAGTCTTACTATGGCTATGAGATAGATGAGGTGAAGATTCTGGGTAACGACCGTTACCTGGTGGCACACACCACTGATACACTGATTTTAGGAGACCTGCAGACCAGTAAACTGAGTGAGGTGAGATAATAATTGCTGTTAGTAATTATAATGATAACAAACCTTTTTATGGTGAACACTGGTTTGTACATTTAAATAAATAAATAGATAGATAAATAAAGGAAAAAGAAGCATTGCTTTTTAGTTTAGTATAAAAAGTATGTGCATATTACTTCTACAATAATGTTTCAGCTTTGCTCATGTGAATTTGATTTGTTAAATTATTCTAAAATTGATACTTGGTTTCCTTTGAAGCATAAAGGACCATCTTACTTTTCCAGGTACCCTGGCAAGGAACTGGAGGCAATGAGAAGTTCTACTTTGACAATGAAAGTGTAAGTATTATTTTGAAGGGTCTAAATATTGTCTACATAATTTCAAAATCTTTTATGGTCTTTCACTTCACTTCCTAATGAAGTTAGAACAAAGGAGTTGGCAAAAACACTAAGGAGCAATGATTTTGATTTGACTTTCATATTTACTATTGGGGAAAATTGCACAGTTATTTATCACACAAGAAAGTGGTTGCTCTCAGTTATTAAGTATCCAGTTACACTGATGAAATGTTTTAATGTTTGGTTTATTGAATTATTGCCTCAGGTCTGCATGATCTTCAATGCTGGAGAACTGTCCCTGGTGGAATATGGCAACAATGAGATACTGGGCAGTGTGAGGACAGAGTTCATGAACCCTCATCTCATCAGGTAAGTGCCATTCAGATAATAAGTTCATGAAGGCTCATCACACTAGGTAGGTGCCATCCAAAATAAATGTTCATGAACCCTCATCTCATCTGGTAGGTGCCATTCAAATATCATGATCGTGAACCCTCATCTCATGAGACATGTGCCATTTAAACTGTACATATCTTATATCTGTATTTGTATTTTTCTTCCTGGCCTACAACTGGAGATGGAAGATTGAACAGTGATATTGTTATTGAATATGAGTTTTATGTGATCATGAACATTTCCTTTGTAGTGTTCGACTGAATGAAAGGAAGCAAAGAGGTGTGGATGATAACAAGAAAATGGCATACCTGATAGATTTGAAAACCATTGCCATAAGTGAGTATTTAGCTTTCAATTAGTAACATACAAGTACTGTGATAGGTATATAGATATATATACATAGACATGAATAAGCTCACAACAATAGGTTTTCCAAAAATACATTAATATCACCTAGTTTCTATACATTAATATCACCTAGTTTTTTATAAAGGAGCCAATAGTTACACAATTGTTAAATGATATTACAAATTTTAATTGTCAATGAATTTATTTTTTCAGTTGACCTTCTCTTTGGAGTGACACTGGGGCAGATAAATCATGATTCTAAGATCGACTGGTTGGAGGTTTGTCTCTGATATAGTTTTGAACTCTATTGACCCCAAATGCAAAATATATTGATTAGAAACCAGTTCATTACATGTAGAATATGATATAGCAGTTTTTTTAAAGACAGTTAGGTGATTGTCTTATTACCCTTTACTATTGTGATTGTGAATACAGGGTATTAGTTTTACAAAATATTTCCTTTGTTTTTCAGTTAAATGAAACTGGGCGCAAGTTGTTGTTCAGAGACAAAAGACTGAGGCTGAACTTGTATGATATAGAGACCCAGACCAGGACCACCATTTTGAATTACTGCTCCTATGTCCAGGTGGGTGGGAGTGGTATTTGGCATCCCATAATTTCTAGGCCTTTGTCACAGACTCAAACTGTTGTTTACCAGTCTGTGTGTATGATACTTTTATTTTTTCAATGTTGGAGGTTTAACAATTTTCAATATTAGCTGTTGATTGAAGAAAAATTACCTAATTCTTATAACATAACACAGCTGATAAATTTTTTTCCTACCTTCTTTTTATTTATTTATTTTTATTGATAATAGTATTTTTTTAAATTCATGTCAACACAAAGTCTTCCTCATCAACATGTTAGCTTTGTGCCTTGATACTTCTGCCTGGTTTATACATTTGAACAATTTATTACAGCATTTATTTGTATTTTGGCATAGTGGGTCCCAGGCAGTGATGTAGTCGTGGCACAGAATAGAGGGAGCCTGTGTATCTGGTACAACATTGATGCCCCAGAGAGGGTGACCATGTTCCCCCTGAAAGGCGACATTGTTGACCTGGAGAAGAACAATGGGAAGACGGAGGTGATTGTGAATGATGGTATCACCACTGTGTCCTACAGCCTGGATGAGGGTCTCATTGAGTTTGGTACTGCTATTGATGATGGGGATTATGCCAGGTAATGATAGGATTGATCCTATTCCATAAGCACTGATATATATGGCCCACTATAGCATATTGCTTCATGTTTTCTCAGTTTGCAGGGTAAAATAGAAAATAATTAATTTTATTGTTTGTAGCCAATTTAATCATTGATACACTTGCATTTTATAAAAATTTTGATTTGGATAAAATTTTCCAGCTATTTGTCTTAGAAAAAATTCGTCCTATATTGAGACATATATTCTTGCTATTAGCTCTGTATATTATCTGAAATATTAATTTATTAATAGTGTGGTAAAACGGAAGTTGCAGATTCATACAAAATGCTACTGTGCTCCCAGAATGTAGGATCTCTTGAGGCATTACCTGAAACTTTCACAAAATCCAGTAGATTATTAGATTTGCTTTTGGAATTCAAATCATCTGATCTCCTAAATAAGGTTGAATATCTTTCAGAGCTGTTGCCTACTTGGAGTCCCTTGAAATGTCTGCTGAAACAGAAGCCATGTGGAAGACATTGAGCAAACTTTCCCTTGAGGCAGGGCAGTTGCATATAGCTGAAAGGTGTGGTAATTTTTTGAGAAAGTAGAATATTTGGAAAAAAATTTCTTGAATGAAAAATGTGGATTGAAAAAAAAGATATTTAATAAATCATTTGGCTTTAATAGATATATGATTAAAAAAACTAATACAGTATTTTGAATTTAATCAACATAGATGTATGAAAATGGCATTTGATTTGGTAATTGTTGGATTTTGATTGAAATATATCCTGTATTTCTTTTAGATGTTATGCTGCACTAGGAGATGTATCCAAGGCCAGATATCTTCGAGAAACTAACAGACAAGCTGAGGAAGCTGCTAAGACCACGGTAGGTTAACTCTTTGCCTGTCATATTTCCTTCAAAGTTTTACAGAGACTTGACAATGTTGTATATTTGAGTTGTAAAGGGTTAATCTTGTCTTATCTCTGACAGTAATGTTTTGTTTTTAATTTACAAATTAGTGAAGTTTGAAGATGAAAGCAAAACAAAAAGTAATGTCACCTTTCGAGGTATTGTCAATAATGTGATACAGATGCAGGCTTAGTGGCAATATGTGCACAGTTGACATAAAAGATATAATGGCATAAAAAATAAAATGGCATTTTATATGATGAGAACTTTTATCTCTAGGGTGGAGATGGGTTCCAGTATTACAAAGTCAGGGCCAGAATGGCCATATTGGACAAACAGTTCAAGCAGGCAGAGAGCATCTATCTGGAACAGGTATGGAATACATTACACCAATATTGAGACAGATTTTATGTCAGGCAGTGGTCATTGCTGTGTGGCATATTTTTATTCATTTATATGTTGAACTTGCAATTTTTGTCCATTTGAAAATGCTAATTGATATTCTTTTAACAAGTATTAAGTGTGTGTCCACGAGAAAACCAAACCAATTGTAGAAAATGCGGCAAGGTGGGGGTGAACGGATTTACATCATATTTGGTGTGTTTGAACCTTTATATGAACAATATCTGAGGCTGCAATATTTCCTGAAAAAAATCCCTACTTACAGAGATATGGCCAGTGACAATTTGGGGGGTTTATCAACCAAAAATTCTTCTGAAAAACAGGGTTATATTGATTGGCCTTAAAGTTTATACAGGTGTCACCAAATGACTTAGTTTGGTGATATATTATAACCTAAAGATAGGGGATTAAAATGATATACACTTTTTCCACTCTCTTTGTTTCCATGGTAACAAACCAAGCGTTTTTCTCAGGCCTACAAACCACATGCTTTGAACACCCCCCTTCTATTTTTGACAATATCTTCATCTTCACAGGTCTTTGGGGTAAAGCGTGTTCAGGACTAACAGATAACTCATTAATCTATTCATACATGAAATCAAAACTTACTGCTGTTCTACAACTTGTCCGTTGTAACAGATAGAACATGACCTAATTTCTTCATTTTTCGTAAATATATCCGAACACGTATATCGGTGCACTGAACTTCAGCCATCTCTTTCAAGTCAACGAATGGTTTAAAACACTGTTAGTTGAANGCTTTGATTTATTTATTTGTATCTAAGTACTTAATAAAGCATTTATGAGATTATAAACCTTGCATTTTCTAAAACTACGAGTCTTACTATTTGTTACTTTAAGGTGCGGTTGGGGAATATGAAAACCAACAAGTCATCTACAATCTATTCCTCGGATTCATATGTGGTGTCGCTTTGCAGCAAGTAAGTTGTTATCAGTTTCACATAATATTTGGTAAACTTTTTTATTCATGTAACTTATATACAACAAAAAAGCTGCTAAAAAAGGTAAACTGCATTTATTTTTCTTCCTAGAAACAAATTTTCCCCTCCCTAACATATATTTATCCCTTTTCGTCAAATGAAAAACAGAATTTATTGCACTCTTCCTTAAATCTTTTGAACTGATTTAGGTGGAACAGTAGAAACAAACAATAGGACCAAGTTGAAAATATATTACAGTGGCGATAATACAAGTTCTGTGGAGTGAAAAAATTCACCAATGGAGCTTGCATTTTTCCTGCAACATTGTAAAAATTACAAAAAGAAATATTGTAGGATGTTATTGACATTTTATATCCCCTCTGCTCTTCCAGTCCATCTGGCAAAGGCATCATGTCTGGTCATGCTGATGGGAGTATTGTCAGGTACTTCTTTGATGATGAGGGCTCTGGAGATGCGCAGGTAGGTTGGCATATACATATAAAGAAAGAATGGAGAAATTTCGATTTTGCCATTATATTGCCATGCTATGCTATTTGCCATGCTTTTTTGTCAACATTCATTCACATCAGTTTAATGCAATTTATAATTATAGTAACTAGTATATATCCAGTTAGTTGGCAATGGGTGTATTTGCGGTAGATCAGACTTGCATGGTATACTTAATTGCGATTCTAGGACAATTCCCCCCAGGACAATTCCCCCCCCGGACTATTCCCCCCGGACAATTCCCCCCCAGGACAATTCCCCCCCGGACGATTCCCCCCCAAGAAATATATATTTATATACAATAGAAAGTGTAAAGTTTAAAACAATTCATCCATTTTATTAATATTTTTTAATGTGATAATATAACTTCATCATGAAATAAATAATTTTATAACAAATTCCCTTTTAATTGAGTACAAGTACAGGAAGATTTATGAAGTATCTAATCGAAATATAACCACCTATCCTTCAGGTAAAAGTGGGGTAAACAGANCCCCCCGGACAATTCCCCCCCAAGACAATTCCCCCCCGGACGATTCCCCCCCAAGAAATATATATTTATATACAATAGAAAGTGTAAAGTTTAAAACAATTCATCCATTTTATTAATATTTTTAATGTGATAATATAACTTCATCATGAAATAAATAATTTTATAACAAATTCCCTTTTAATTGAGTACAAGTACAGGAAGATTTATGAAGTATCTAATCGAAATATAACCACCTATCCTTCAGGTAAAAGTGGGGTAAACAGATGAAAAGGTAAACAGATATTTTATAAATATTTTAGTGTGGTGGGTGGTGGTCAAGAAATTAAAAGTGACAAAAAGTCAGGAAGATTTATGAAGTATCTAATCGAAATATAACCACCTATCCTTCAGGTAAAAGTGGGGTAAACAGATGAAAAGGTAAACAGATATTTTATAAATATTTTAGTGTGGTGGGTGGTGGTCAAGAAATTAAAAGTGACAAAAAGTCACAGAGATACCTGGATATGAGAGAAAATCTGTTTACCCCACCTCTCCCTATAGATGCACCTTGATTCAAGACTAACTGAATCAAGGGGGGGGGGAGAAATAAAGCAATTAAAAGTAACAGTTAATTCATCAAAGGGCTACCTGGATGAGTGAGATAATCTGTTTACCCTTCCTTTACCTGGAGATATATATACTTTGATCAGATTTTTAAAAAAATGTTCTGTACTTCTATCTCGAAAATTTCATGTACTTGTACTCCTTGAAAAGAAATTGTTTAATAAAATTAATATTATCTATCCTTGATTTGCATCATCACACTAAGAAATATTCAGAAAATGGATGAAAAGATTTGAACTTTTATATTTGTAAATAAATATATATATATTCTTTAGGGGGGGGGGAATTGTCCTGGGGGGGAATTGTCCGGGGGGAATTGTCCTGATACCCTTAATTTCGTACTATAATATATGAGAACAATCCTTGGGTGTATACCTATTTACAAGGTACAAATGCCTTAAACAACTGACATTTCATACGTGACAACTTCGTGACAACTCGGTGTTTTTTCTTCTTTAGGGTAAAATTGCTGTTCACTCTTGCCCACCCTATGCTCTTGCCTGGGCTACAAATTCCTTCATAGCTGCTGGCTGTGATAAGAGAATAGTGGCATATGGGAGAGACGGCCGCAGCATTCAGCAGTTTGACTACAGCCGGGATGATGATGAGAAGGAGTTCACTACAGCTGTCTGCAGTCCCAGTGGACAGTCTATTGTAATAGGGAGTTTTGACAGGTGAGCCTGGAGAGTGATTATTTGAGAATTCTTCACAGTTAAGGTTTTTTTTTTTGTCCATTATGATAAATGAAATTTTGATAAAAAGTGCTTTGATATTTTGCTAAATTATAAAACCATACACTATAATAAATGCAATATTCTATGCATGTCATTATTACCAGCCCATAGGTTATACTTCAACCTCATATTGCATGGATTTCTTATTTGTTTCATTCCTGCCCAGATTGCGTGTTTTCAACTGGAGTCCCCGCAAGGCTACATGGGATGAGTCCAAGCCCAAAGAAATCCCGTACCTGTACACCATCACCGCTCTGGCCTGGAGAAAAGATGGGTCCAGGCTCTGTGCTGTAAGGACATATTAACTACTTAGGAAAAAAAAGTAGTTTTACTTGATGCTGCTAAGAAAATCGTTTGATTTTAAATACATATAAACATAATACTGTTGATATATGGAGATTGTAACAGATTTATGCATTATTGGCATCAACCAAGTTATATTTTATCAAATTTGAACATCTCCACCCTGGAAAAAAATGTAGGAATGAAGTGTACATTAAGCCAGCAAGAGCTATCTTAATTTGAAATAAGTTTCTGTACATACACATATAGGAGCTGTTTTTTGTTCACTCTGTTTCATTGTTTGTTTTGTCCTTTTAAGGGCACACTGTGTGGAGCAGTGGAGCTGTTTGACTGCTGTTTAAGGAGAGCAATTTACAAGAACAAGTTTGAAATGACATATGTTGGTCTCAGTCAGGTATGGATCCTTGGTTATTATGCTTCGTCCAATTTTTTAAAAATCTGTAGCATTGGATTTTCCACCCTCCAAATGTCACTTAAAAAGGCTACTCCTGTCACACACATTCGCTCAACACATACATGTTTGCACGCACACACAAGCACACACAGACATTCCCCATATTTATTCATAAAACTTTATGAAACAAATACCTTTATTCTTGTGTAGAAGATGGTCAGAAGTTCAAATATCATTTGTTTCTACAGGTGATAGTAAGGAACCTGTCCACTGGAACTAGAGTAGTTCTCAAGTCCTACTATGGCTATGAGATAGATGAGGTGAAGATTCTGGGTAATGACCGTTACCTGGTGGCACACACCACTGATACACTGATTTTAGGAGACCTGCAGACCAGTAAACTGAGTGAGGTGAGATAAGTCATTGTAACAACCCTTTTTATGGTGAATAGTGGTTGTGTACATGCAAATAAAAAGAATAAATAGATGGTAAGTGAAGAAAGAAAGAAAGAAAGACAGGAAAAAGAAACATTGCTTTTAGCTTAATACCAAAAGTTAGTGTACATTACTTCTACAATAATGTTTCAGCTTTGCTCATGTGAATTTGATTTGTTATATGGTTCTAAAATTGATACTTGGTTTCTTGTGACATGTATTTGAAACATAAGGGACCATTTTACTTTTCCAGGTACCCTGGCAAGGAACTGGAGGCAATGAGAAGTTCTACTTTGACAATGAAAGTGTAAGCATCACTTTGAACAATGCTAATGTCTTTTTTACTGTCAACATAATTTCAAAATGTTTTATGGTATTTCACTTCACTTCCTAAAGAAGTTAGAACAAAGAAGTGTATAAAAACACTAAGGAGCAATGATTTTGATTTGACTTTCATATTTACTATTGGGGAAAATTGCACAATTATTTATCTCACAAGAAAGATATTGCTCTCAGTTATTAAGTATCCAGTTACACTGATGAAATGTTGATGTTTGGTTTATTGAATTATTGCCTCAGGTCTGCATGATCTTCAATGCTGGAGAACTGTCCCTGGTGGAATATGGCAACAATGAGATACTGGGCAGTGTGAGGACAGAGTTCATGAACCCTCATCTCATCAGGTAGGTGCCATTCTTAATATACACATCTCATATCTGTTTTTATTCTTTCTTCTTGGCCCAAGGCTCACCAGTATGTAGTTTATTCAGAGAAAGAAATCAAAGTCTTGGGGAAATTCACTAGCAGATTAGGATATTTTTAACACAAAAGAACGGAAAATAGGATTTTGTGAACTGTTGATGATTTTTATGAGAGAATTATGAAAGAAGTAGTCATTTGAATTTTTTTAAAAAAGTGTACAAAAGATAAAATTATTGTGTCAGTTGAATTATGTGATATGTAGTTGTTCTGTGGACAAATTGTAGATAATGTGAAATGGTCTAATTGAGCTTGATATTATGTCCATATCACTTGTTCATCAACAATTTGACATGAGGATTTCCCCCCCCCCCCCTTTGCACATCATGATATTTATAATCAGACTTTGTTTTCATTTCCCTATCTTAATAACATGAAGCAGCAACTGTTAGCAGTGATTTTGTTATTGGATACGAGTTTTATGTAATTTTGAAAATACCCTTTGCAGTGTTCGGCTGAATGAAAGGAAGCAAAGAGGTGTGGATGATAACAAGAAAATGGCATACCTGATAGATCTGAAAACCATTGCCATCAGTGAGTATATAGTTATCAGGAACATCTTCATACCATGATAGGTATATAGATATAAATACACAATGTAATTTAAATGAATAACTTCACAACAGTAAGTTTTCCAAATATATATTAACATCCCTTAGTGTCTATTTTTAAAGCTCCTTTTAATAAAAGAGCTGATAGTTACGTACATTATTGTTAAATGATATTACAACTTTTAATTGTCAATGATTTTTTCCAGTTGACCTTCTCTTTGGAGTGACACTGGGGCAGATAAATCATGATTCAAAGATTGACTGGTTGGAGGTTTGTCTCTAATATATTTTGGATCTTTATAGACCCAACTTGCAAAATATATTTATTAGAAACTAGTTGTTGCATGTAAGAGGATGAGACTAGCAAATTTTTAAAGACAGTAAGCTGCTTGTCTTATTATCCTTTGGTTGTGATTTTGAATACAGTGTATTAGTTTTACACAATATTTCTTTTGTTTTTCAGTTAAATGAAACTGGGCGCAAGTTGTTGTTCAGAGACAAAAGACTGAGGCTGAACTTGTATGATATAGAGACCCAGACCAGGACCACCATTTTGAATTACTGCTCCTATGTCCAGGTGGGTGGGAGTGGTATTTGGCATCCCATAATTTCTAGGCCTTTGTCACAGACTCAAACTGTTGTTTACCAGTCTGTGTGTATGATGCTTTTATTTTTTCAATGTTGGAGGTTTAACAATTTTCAATATTAGCTGTTGATTGAAGAAAAATTACCTAATTCTTATAACATAACACATCTGATAAATTTTTTTCCTACCTTCTTTTTATTTATTTATTTTTATTGATAATAGTATTTTTTTTAATTCATGTCAACACAAAGTCTTCCTCATCAACATGTTAGCTTTGTGCCTTGATACTTCTGCCTGGTTTATACATTTGAACAATTTATCACAGCATTTATTTGTATTTTGGCATAGTGGGTCCCAGGCAGTGATGTAGTCGTGGCACAGAATAGAGGGAGCCTGTGTATCTGGTACAACATTGATGCCCCAGAGAGGGTGACCATGTTCCCCCTGAAAGGCGACATTGTTGACCTGGAGAAGAACAATGGGAAGACGGAGGTGATTGTGAATGATGGTATCACCACTGTGTCCTACAGCCTGGATGAGGGTCTCATTGAGTTTGGTACTGCTATTGATGATGGGGATTATGCCAGGTAATGATAGGATTGCTCCTTTTTCATAGGCATTGATATATCTGGCCCACTGTAGCAGATTGCTAGCTGTTTTCTCATTTTGCTAAGGAAAATAGAAAATTATAGATTGTTTTTAGCCAAATTATTCATTGATATAATTGCCTAATGTAAAAAATTTTGATTTGGATAAAATTTTCCATTTATTTGGCTTAGAAAAATTTCATCTTAGATTGAGACATATTTTAGTGTGACAGAAAGTTGCAGATTCATACAAAATGCTACTGTGCTCCCTCTGAATACTGGTGTCCCAGAATGTAGGGTCTCTTTAGGCGTTTGTGTGAAATGTTCACATAAGCTTATGGATAATTAAATTTCCTTTTGGGATTTAAATCTCATATAGGTAATTAGATTTGCTTTTGGAATTCAAATAATCTGATATCCTGATTAAAATAAGGTTGAATATCTTTTTCAGAGCTGTTGCCTACTTGGAGTCCCTTGAAATGTCTGCTGAAACAGAAGCCATGTGGAAGACATTGAGCAAACTTTCACTTGAGGCAGGGCAGTTGCATATAGCTGAAAGGTATTGTAATTTTTTAGGAAAGTAGAACATTTAGAAAAAAGCACAAATTTCTTGAATAAAAATTTTTGATTGCAAAGCTATTTAAGGAATCCTTCGGCTTCAATAGATATATCATATATGATTTAAAAAATTAACACAATATTTTGAATGTAATCAAAAAAGATGCTTGAAAATGGCATGGGATTTGCTTATTGTTGGATTATGATTGAAATATATCCTGTATTTCCTTTAGATGTTATGCTGCACTAGGAGATGTATCTAAAGCCAGGTATCTCAGAGAAACCAACAGACAAGCTGAGGAAGCTGCCAAGACCACGGTAGGTTGACTCTTTGCCCCTTTTATTTACTTCACAATTTTGTGGAAACTTGAGAATGCTTTATCCTTGAGTTGTGAAAAATTAATCTTTTCTCTGACAATTATGTTTTGATTTTAATTTACAAATTAGTGAAGTTTGAAGATGAAAACAAAATGTAATGTCAACTTTTGAGGTATACAGTTATACAGATGTAGGTTTTGTTGCAATATGTGAACAGTTGACATAGAAAATATAATGACATAAAGGATATAAAGACATTTATATGATGAGAACTTGTATCTCTAGGGTGGAGATGGGTTCCAGTATTACAAAGTGAGGGCCAGGATGGCTATACTGGACAAACAGTTCAAGCAGGCAGAGAGCATCTATCTGGAGCAGGTAGGGAATACAGTACACCAATATTATGTCAGGCAGTGGTCACTGCTGTGTGGCATATTTTTATATGTTGAGCATTTTAATTTTTGTCTTTGTGAATATGTGGATCGATATTCTGTTAATGAGCATTAAGCAAATTCCCCTTTAATAGTATACTGTATATATAAATTATTCAAATATAAATTGGTACAAATTTGATAGTTTAAGTATTGTTTATTCTTCGGTTATAAATTGGTACAAATTCCATTCCTAGCGGGATGTGTCAGGAGCTATTCAGATGTACCAGGACATGTACATGTATGAGTCAGCTGTAGAGGTGGCAGAAGTCAAGGTGCCATTTTGATGTGCAGTCAACTTTTTTACAGACTATGCTAGATGTTGAAATACTTTTAGGACAGACTTGGTTTTTGACAATGCTCCGTGAAATAAGTTGTATCTCAGTCATGTTTTAATGTAGTTAAAGTTTGTAAAGAAAAAAAACATTCATTTTCATCAATGTTGTCAGTCATGACAATTAGGACTGAGCTATGACTTCTGATATTTAACCTAAAACCACATAATAGGCAATGCTTGTTCTGTCCTAGAGGTAATGATATACACTGGCAAACATTATGATTTTTTAAAAATTTTATTTTATTGTTTGCTCTCTGGCATGCAGCAATTTTATTCTCTTGATTTTCAGACATTGTATTCTTATTTTATTATTTTCTCTATGTGTATATTTCTTACCCTTTCTAATGGTGTTGCCTGTCTTCACAATTCTTTTGCTCTGCTGTACAGAATAACCTGGATGAGGCCATGGAGATGTATCAAGAGATGCACAAGTGGGATGAGGCCATCGAGGTGGCACAGGCCAAGGTAAGGGAGGGACATTGTCTAAGTATGATCACAGCAGGGATGAGATTTTTCAGACTATCGGCAGATTTCTGAATTTTTTGGGAGCCCAAAATATCATTGGCCTAGGCGACCCCCTGGCCTAGGCGATCCCACGGCCTATTTTCAGACTTTTTCACTAGTGTGAATGACAGCCAAATCCCTATAATAGGGAGGTCAGAGTTTAATCATTAATAGGTCATTATAATGGTCAAGGTTAACTAGTCAGGAATTACTATAGCAGATTGAGGCCATTAGGGTGCCACAGGCCAAGGTGAGGGTGGGCACATCAACATACTTAACCATGGAGAGGCCCAGTTTGAATAAGGCCAGGGATCATATTGGGGAGAAGGGTCATTATTATTGTCACTTCCAAGGTTACCTTGGGTGACCACTGAGGTAGCCAGAATTAAAAGAGTGAAAACAAGCGTGATAAGGCGTGATAAGGTAGTTTTTTGCTAGATGTATTTCTGCTTTGTTTTTATAAAATGATTTGTCTTGATATTCTTGAATGCTGCATGCATCAAGCTTAGCTTATTTACAATGTTCATGTGTCCTTTATTTATTTTGAAAAGTTTTTGCTTTCTGGAAATACCATTATGTACATTAATTTAGTGTAATATCTTAATATCATGTTATTACTTTGGATAAAGTTGGATAAGAAATGATTTCCATATATTTGCATGATCTGTGTTTCATTCTTTGTAAAATTTCTTGAGTAGCTTTAGTTATATGTAATTTTTTTATCATTCTTAACATTGTTTCCCCTCAGGCCCACCCAGAGTTGGAGAATTTACGTCGCACCTACTACCAGTGGCTGATGGACACCAGTCAGGAGGAAAAGGCTGGGGAGGTCGGTTACTTTCACTTTCACTTTTGATTTTATCTTGAATATTCAAACTAAAGGCAGTTAAATCATAAAGAAAAATTTAGTTAAGGATAACTGTGAATATTTTTCAACAAAATATCCAGCATGAAGTTTATGTTGTGGATTGTTTTCATGACGGAATTGAACCTTTGTTAACGAACAAACACAATTTTGACACACAGTGCATTTCACTTTGTTCAGAATATGTAACAAGGAAGATTCAGATCATATCCTTTCATTTTTTTGCACTCATAAGACTAGCTATAAGATAAGTTTTTCAATTTTACCTGGGTAACTAATTCAGTAACAATCTGGTCTACTTAGGTCAAAGAGCGTGAGGGGGACTACATGGGGGCCATAGCTCTGTACATGAAAGCTGGGCTACCTGCCAGAGCTGCCAGGCTAGCCACTAGCAATGAGGTAAGGGACTGTATTTAAAACCTTAAAGGTACACTCCTTGTGATTTACCTGCCAAAATGGATTTTCCTGGAAAATGAGCAATTTTCTCATACTCATGAATCATTTATATATCCTTTGCACTTGGATTCAACCTTTCGATAAATTTATGAAGGTTTGATTTTAGCTTATGACTGAACAGCCATTATAACAGTAACCATTTCCTATAAGCTACAATGGAAATATCAGCATCAGGTACACTTCAAAAAATATTTAAGGGTTTATATCATTTTAAGGTGTATGTACAGTTTTATAAGAAGCTGTGGATAGCAAAAATAAGCATTTTGTGGATTTTCAAACCCATGGAGTATACCTGTAATGTTTTATAATTTGCTGTATTTTGGGTGAAAAATATGGAAAAAATAGGTAGTTATCTAACTTGTTTGCAGCTGGGGATGAAAATTTGGAATTTATTCATTGATGATTAAAAAAGGAAATCAGTTTTAAAAAAGCCTGAAAATATATTCTATCTATAAGCTGTAACAATTCAAATCTTCTTCAAAGAGCCTTGATCAAATGACTGACTTCTCAATGTTACAGTAACAATACTGCTTATACACTAGAGATATACCAGTAAAGAAATACTATTCACAAAATGGTATTGATATTATTAATTTCTGAAAAATTAAAATTAATGCAGTCCTCTTTTGAACGATCACAAGATCTTGATTCCTTTGATATGGGATTAAGCGATAAGTTCATGTAGCTTGTGGATAAAGGAAATGTTAGGTCAGTTATTTAGCCAGTTAACCAGTGGCAATCAGCTGTAGCCCACTGTTCTCAGGGTAAAGTAGGTAACCAGTGAAGGTAGAGTGGTTCTCTCCGGGGTGATTGTGCAGACCGTATCCATTCTCCAGCTCAATCCAGACTCTGTCCCCCTCTGTCAGATGCAGGGCAGCACTGTTACTGCCAGTTGCATAATGCTGGGTAGGGTGTGCATAGCCGCTGTTGATTCTCTTTCCATTGTGAACTAGCCACAAATACAGACGTTTAGTGTGGTAGTTGATGGCGTGGAAGTGGAAGACGAATACCCCAGACATGGGGGCAGTAAATATTCCGGTGGCTTCATCATAGGCATGGCCCTCGTTCAGGATTACAGCATCATAGATTATAATCGCTGGTTTACCAGTTGCTTGAAGGTCGGTGGAACGGCCAGCTGAGAAAGCAACATGTCTGTAGGACACAGCACATTTGCTAACTTCTAAAAATAAAAGGCATACATTACCATGTATTTTTTTTCGATTTTTTTTTAACATTGTGTTTTGTGACATTTAGTTCATGCATTATGCATTTTTTTTTTACAATGTGTATAGTATTGGCTCTTCATAAGGCCTGTGTTTCAGCAGTCTCCCAATACATTCAAAATTCAAATTATGTCAATAACAATGAAATAACAATAACAGTTTTCAGATATATGTGAACTAAGGAATACCAACCTTGACCCTCCACACAGAACACAACCATTGCCACTGTGGCAGCCAGTAGGTAAAGCGCCGTTACCTTCATTGTGGGTCTGAGAAAGACAAGTGGAGAGTCCATGATATTTAATCCTAAAAACCCCATTTTAAAATATTCATCTTATTTTCTTAGTGCCATTCATCATTGGTTTGGATGAAAAAGTTGCATTTTTCCCCCAACTTTGCCTAGTTACCAGAATTTTTTTGCCTTTATGAAGAATTGCCAGTCGTCTATGTCACAGTACAACCCATGTCTGCTTTCAAAAATTTTCAAGTAATGTTTGCTGCTTGTCCTAATTTTGAAGAAGCCATTTGATTCATGTGGCAAAACATTAAGTTGAATTTAGACAAATTAGGCAATTTAATGCTATTTACTTTTATATTTTAGTTCTTAAAACTTTTCAATTGTTGTAAGGCTTAGTTTCACATGTAGACATTTGCAAGCAATTATAAATTTATTCTTAATGTTCATGATAGTAAAAAATAGAATAAAAGCTTACCTGTATCTCCACTTATTGCCAAAAAACAAGACTGATGAATAGTTGGGAAACATGACTTTTATATTGTACTATAGCTAGTGTTTGGGAGGAGCTCTCATTTAAACTGATCCATTAGGAGTAAATGTTTGGAAATTATCATTAAAACTCACTTTCTTTATTTACATTTGGCAAGCACTTGAGTAAATGTGTGGCTTGTAAGATTTGTTTCAAAGAGAGTAACATTTATTCTTCCTTATTTGTAAATCCAGGACTTTCAAGTAAATTTTTTATGTTTGAAAGAAACATCTGCTCCATCATTTCCTCTATAAAAGTAACCTCAAATGTTTGTTATCTCCAAAATAAAGTTGAAGCAATCAAAATAGTTTCACATGCAGGCAACATTTTTGGTAATTCTCTTTTATAAAAGAGAAGAATTAGAGTAAAGATTTTGAAGTGAAAAAAATATTTGATTTGCACAAGAGTTCATTGAAAGTAGATACTTGAATGATGTTATGATTTATCAAGCATCTCAATGTAAAAGCTTTACACGTGGTTGAAATAAAATAATTTGGAGGTTAGATTATTGAATGATTTTATCATGAATATCAAACAAAATGTGACCTCATTATTTCATCAAAAATTATGGTCACATAAATGTGAAATCTGGGGTTTTATTCCTTTTTGTTTCCCTGTCTCTGAAAATCTGCACAGTGTTAAGTATCATTTTAAACAGTTTCAGTATATTATTTTAACCATGCATTTTAACAACTGGTTTGTTTATCTATCTAGCAAAAAGTTTTTTTTCTTAATCCAGGAACTGATGTCCAACTCAGAAGTGATTAACAGGATTGCAACTGCTCTCATCCAAGGAGAGTTCTACGAAAGGGTGAGCAATGTTTAGGGTAGCTAGGTGTAGAAGTATTTTGTCAGAACAGAAATATATTTTCATTGATAAATGCTATTCAAATGGTGAGCAAATCCCTTCTGGTATGTACTTTATCGAAAGAATTATTTGGACGCCAAGTACCAAATTTTATTACATTCCTTGTATAACAATGCTTAATGTGTACATGAAATTACAAAAACATTTGTAATATTCATTATGATGATAACTTGGGCTTGAGGGTACAGGTGTACACAGTACAGTGTTCAATACAAAAACTTGTTCATATTTATATTTACTATCACCTCCCACAGGCTGGTGACTTGTTTGAGAAGATCCGTAGCTACCAGAAGGCTGCAGAGTGTTACCGTATGGGCAAGGCATACAGACAGGCTGTGGACCTGGCGCGCTATGCCTTCCCAGAGCAGGTGGTCAACTTGGAGCAGGAGTGGGGGGACCACCTGGTGGCACAGAAACAGCTGGACGCTGCCATTAACCATTATATTGAGGCTGGGTGAGTATGTGTACGTGTGTGTGTTTGTGTGTGTGTGTATGTGTGTGTGTGTGTGTTTGTGTGTGTGTGTATGTGTGTGTGTGTGTGTGTTTGTTGTGGGTGTGTGTGCCCATACATTAGTAACTTTATGTGCATGATTGTTTAATAAGCAAATGTGCATGCATATTTAATATATACAGGGGCGGATTTAGGCCGTCTTCTGGGTCTTCCAGAAGACGGTCAGATTTTCAAGTTTACATTGATGGAGATCTATTTTTTCTGTCGGAAGACGGTCAAAAATGTAGGATGGATCAGCAAAGATAATTTGGAAGACTGTCAGAAAATATCTCTGGATCCGCCCCTGATATATATAAGCATATATGTATGTCTGAGCACATATATGCATCAACTTCAGAGTTTATATAACAGTACCAGATGTGTACATTTGTGTGTGACTTTATACATTCAACAATAATAGAGGTTGACTACTTGTCTTAGTTAAGTATTGGTTTTAAATTATAGGGCTACGCTTAAAGCTGTTGAGGCAGCCATCAACTCTAGACAGTGGGCTAAAGCCACTCAGATCCTAGAACTCCAGGACTCTGAGATGTCAGCCAAGTACTATAGAAAGATAGCTGTGCATTATGCCTCAGTGGGAGAATTAGAGGTAAGGATTCAAAGTGGTTGGTTGAACAGCTTGCATGGAGAATGCTATTCATTGTTTGACTCATTTCACTAAAAGATGTGGAATGTTCTCTCTGTTTTTTAAAGAAGTTTCTTAGAAATATGCACTGTGTCTCAGTTATTTCAGTAGTTATCCTTAAGTTCATAATATAGATGCCATCACTAATCTAATGTCAATGTTTAAGATTTCTGACAGAGATCCTGAGTACTAATTCTATATTTGATCATTTTGCTACTCAGTCACATATTTCCTCCAAATAATTGAGGACAGTTTAGTAATTATTTGCTGTGTGTTCTCTACAGGTTGCTGAGAAGTACTTCTTAGAAGCAGACTGTATCAAGGAAGCCATCGACATGTACAACAATGCTGGCAAGTGGGAGAAGGCACACAGGGTAGGTACATGTGGAAGGCACTCTTATGTTAATTTTATTACATACAGTTCTGCATGAAGAGAATTAGAATAGAGAAGACTTAAGAAAATAATAAAGGACATCGAACGAATATATTGCACTTTTAACTCTTTCGTGTGAATACTTTATATTAAGCAGTAATGCATAATTTCACCGAAGCCAAAATAGTTGCCATTCAAATTGGTTATAAATTAAAGTTATCACATGATACTCCCTCCCCCCCCCCCAAAAAAAAAAAGAAAAAGAAAAAATAGCAATAAACAGGTAAATCTTATTAAAGACAAGATAATCTAATAATCATTTTTCTCACCAGCTGGCAGCACAGTGTATGAAGCAAGACGAGGTGGCAGTGTTGTACATCAAGCAGGCCAATAGTTTGGAAGCAGAGGGCAAGTTCAAGGAGGCTGAAAGGTGAGATGGAGCTCTAGAGTTACTGAATCTAAAATTAGTTGTCTGCATTCTTTTCAATCATGTTTAATTTGATTTCATTTGTTATAAGATATTGGGTAGTTATTCTGGAATTAACTGGAATTTTTGTCAAAATGCTTTTTTTGATGAAATGAAAGTAACTAACAGTATTTTTAGATTAAAAAAAAGAAAAACTACTATTTTGAGTGTATTGGATTGCTGAGAAATAAAGTGTTTGAGTATAATACTATTTCCTCAATTATATTATATTATTTCCCCTTGTTTCCAGACTATATGTAACAGTAGAGGAGCCAGACATGGCAATTACAATGTATAAAAAACAGAAGATGTACAATGACATGGTGCGCCTAGTCAAACAGTTCCACCCGGAGTTACTTCAAGACACACACCTGCATTTAGCACAGGTAAATGTTTACAATGTTTATCTGAATTATGTAGAATGATTTGTGTGCCTGCATAAATAGGATAACCTGAATTATAAGTTGAATAATTTGTGTGCCTGCACTCTAGCAATTTGTAAATATTACAACATACTTAGATAGAAGATGTAGCCATGTACGAAACATTAAAAACTCTGATACTGTACCAAAAATCTGCTGAGAATAGTATGTTATCATTTTGGCACTGTACTGAAAAAGCAAAAAATAAAAAATAAATAAATAATAATAAAAATAAAAAAATAATAATAATAATAAAGAAATAATTAATCATATTTTTATTTTGGCTCCACACTGCAATTGTAATGAAAATTTGATAATATTTTTAAAAATGTGGGTTAGGAGCTTGACATAAAGTACACTGGCTGATGTTGTATTTAGGAACTCCATGCAGAGAACAACCTGAGACAGGCTGAGATCCACTTCCTGGAGGCTAAGGACTGGAAGGGAGCAGTGAACATGTACAGGTCCAATGACATGTGGGATGAAGCTTATAGGGTAAGAACTAAAAGTTAGAATATAAAACCCAGACAAAAAGAGCAGAAGGACAATAATTGAAAACAGGAGTGGGGTGCATCTGCAATTTTTTAGTTTCAAATTCTGCAGTTAGGGTGAATATTTCTTACATTGTAAAGGCTCTGTTTAGGTAACTCTTCATTTTACTCAGCTATCTTTGATGTAGATTAATTCAAAGAAGCAGACTATTTAATGTACTGATAAGATGACAACTTGTCAACTTAAAGTTCTTATTATTGTACAGACTTACCTACATAAATTCTGCATCAGGACTTGGCAGCGTGAGACAAAAGTGAATCCCGTTATTTTTAATGTCATCAATAAATGAGTCTCCTTTCTGCCACCTTCATAAGGCCAAATGCGAACAAGTGCAAAATACAGTTCACCATAAATATTTCTTCTATTCATTTTTAATTTAAAGAATGTTTTGTATGTTCTAGGTTGCAAAGTCACACGGAGGTGCCAATCCTGCCAAACAGGTGGCATACTTGTGGGCCAAGAGTTTGGGAGGAGACTCTGCTGTCAAACTGCTCACTAAGTTTGGGCTGCTTGAAGCTGCCATTGATTATGCAGCTGAAAACTGGTGAGTTGGTAAATCAGGACAAAGTTCACAAATAATTATAAGCTTGGTATACAACCTATATTTTTATGGTGTACGCAGAACCAGTATTTCTGTGCTATGTGTTTTATTTTGTCTAAATAGGACCATTAAAAAACCATTGCAGAAGTAATACAACCAGTATGATATAGCTATGATATGGGGGAATTAAGATGGATCTTGAGATATAGCTCAGATATCCAATACAAAAATATAACCTGCACAGAAAAGTGAAAATGAATTGGTTTACCTAGTCATTCTTCGACTAATTCTCAGTAAACAGCACACCTCACAGGGACATTTTCTGTTTGTTCTCCAGTGCATTCGACTTTGCCTTTGACCTGGCCAAGACATCCATGAAGAACAAGATGCCAGACATCCACCTGAAGTACGCCATGTACCTGGAGGATGAGGGGAAGTTCAAGGAGGCTGAGGCTGAGTTTATAAAGGCTGCCAAACCCAAAGAGGCAGTGCTCATGTAAGGGTTCAGTTTGTTTTTTACAACAATATTCTTTATTACAGTGAAGACCCTGGTGTTATTATATAAAAAGTGTAATTAAATGTTTGGGTTGCATTAAAAGCAGTTTATTTTGAGTTGAAAAATAATTGTAAATTTAAAGGGACCACAGTATAATTTATGAGAAAAGATAACTTGCAGGATCAACTTTTTCATTACTTTTGATCATTTTATGTTATCATGCTTGTCCACTTGTATCTTAACATTATTAGATGAAAGTTACTGTCTATAACAAACAAAAAATTATATTAAAAAAGATTAAAAGAGGAAAATGAATAATTTCTTGAAGAAGTAAAGACTCTAAGTTATTAAATGTGAAAATAATGTTACCTCCCATTACCTTCCAGGTATGTCCACAACCAGGACTGGGACTCTGCCCAGCGTGTGGCAGAGGAACACGACCCTGACTCTGTGGCAGATGTCCTAGTGGGTCAGGCCAGGTTTGCCTTTGAAGAGAAGGAGTACCAGAAGGCCGAGTCCTTCCTACTGCGAGCACAGAGACCCGAGCTTGCTATCAAGTACTACAAGGTGGGACAACATTTCAGTTTCCATTTCAGTGCAATATTGTTTGTTTGGCCAAGATTACTGTGTTATATGTGTTTAGGTGACCTTTAGGATTGTTTTAAGGATACAAGATTCTTTTTAATGAAGTGAATCGATTGGCAAAAAAAATGTAGCTGCTGTAATTTGTTGAAAAGTGCCTACTTATTGTTAACTCTAAACAATAGAACCTTAAGCTTGGTGTTGTTATCTTCCCAAATTATTTTACAAAACCCAGGGGAACCATTACAAACCCATCTGCAGTACTGTTGACATTCTTGACAATTGTTTTGGTTGGTTTTTCTCCTCCAGGAAGCCTCTATGTGGCAGGATGCACTGAGAGTCTGCAAAGAGTACATTCCACACAAACTACAGCAACTCCAGGATGAATATGACAAAGAGATGATCACCAAGTCAACAAAGTAAAGAAGCCATTTAAACATTTAGCCTGTATAAATGAATTAAAGAACCCGATATTGTCAGATTTTTGCACAGTCAGGGAAAACATGAATTTATAAGTATGAAAATCATTGTGTAATTAAATGTGCTGTTCCCAATATGTTTTACTTATTGAAACAAAATATATTGAAAATTAAACTCGGAAGTATGAAAACTTTTACCTCCAGGGGAGCAGACACCCTTATTCAGCAAGCCAAGGACTGGGAGGCATCAGGAGAGTACACCAGAGCTGTGGAGTGCTATGTCAAGGTCACACCCAAGGTCACCAATGACACCAACATGATGACCAAGTGTTGGATTAAGGTACTGAAATGTAGATATGATGTTTGTCGGTACGTGAGAGGATGATGCAATTAGAAGACAGTTAAAAACCATAATTGCAAAAATAATAATGAAATAGCATGCACACATACACACACATACCATACATTGTTTTTCACACACCCACTCAGCTGTATACATGATGAATATTCATAAACCAATCAAATCAACAGCTGAGTTTGGAAACATTGCATAACACTCAAACTACGTATGCATTTATATTTTCTTTTCAAAATTTTATTCTGTCAAAGCATTGAGAATTAGATTCAGAATCACTGAATCCTATGAAATGATGTATTTCATACTGAAGTAATGCACAAATGTATACATACTAATCTATCTAGGCTGGAGAGTTGGCACTGAAGTTCCTTGGAGCAGATAAAGCAGTGGATGTAGTACAAGTTCTTGGACCAAGACTGGTTGAGGCCAAGAAATACTCTAATGTGAGTAGAACATGAATAGATGATGTTTCTGTGATTATTTTTGTTTGTCTCAGAAAATAAACACATCAAGTTGGCTCTCACCACAGTTGAAAGTGCTCAGGTATACAGTTACTTAAATTGCTGTTCATAAGCATTTTGAGTGGAACATCTGTATTAAGTTAATTAAGTCTAGGTGAGTTAAATAAATGAATAAATAAATTGATTGAACTGCTGTTTCCACTCAAAGGAAAGTGTTTGCTTGATGAAGAAGCGCTCTCTTCAATCTCATTTTAAATGTCTTTGTAACATTATTACCAGGCAGCAGAGCTGTATCTGGGTCTTGACATGTACAAAGATGCCATCGATGCCTTCATCGCAGGAGAAGAGTGGAACAAAGCTAAGAAAGTGGCCAAAGAACTGGAACCAAGGTAAGCACTGTTACTGATGAACCTGGAGGTAAGGTCTTTGTTTTGATGGCTTTTTATGTTAATTGTTTGACATTAATTTATAGCTTGTATGAAATAACACTTTCAATTAGGACTGCTCTGTATGTACATCAGAATAGTTTTAAGTAAAAGGATGCATTTTGTGTTGCTCTAACTAATTTAAATAAGGTTACTATAGAACTGTTTGCTTATATGTATCTTAACATGTAGGAAAAACAGCTGCAATGTGTGCATTGAAACATCCTTTTTGAAATTGACTAAAAATCTGTGTGAATTTCTTCCCTAGATATGAACCATATGTGGATGATCGCTACAAGGACTATTTGAAAAATCAAGGGAAAGCTGATGCAGTGAGTAAATTTTTTTGGAACTTTTCTTTCTTCACACATCACTTGTATTAGCCAGGAAGGGAAAGCAGCTATTAATCTAAAAATTACATTAGAAATAAAACTTCCAGGTTTCATTTTAGAAAGTTTGCTTCTTTATTGCTTTAAACTTTGCCTAAGATTGTACTTAGCTTACAGAACAGAAACATTTGTCATGCTTGTAGCGCTTAACAAAGTCCAGAGAGAAATATAATTTCATCTTAAAATGTTTACTTCAAACCTGTATTTTTTTACCTTCAAGTTGATAGCAAAGATAATTAGCAAATTAGAAACCTTTCTCATGTGTTTTACTTATTTGTTTCAGCTTGCTGGAGTTGATGTGGTGGCGGCCCTGGACATGTATGTTGAGAAAGGCCAGTGGGACAAATGTTTGGAAACAGCTGAAAAACAGGTTTGTTTACCAGTACAGCAATGGCTGTGTTTTTAGAGCTGATATTGTGTGAGGATTTATTTTTACGTTGTTATTTAAACTTTCTTTAAAGAATGTGTACTTTATCTTTATTTAAAAGAGGGAAGTAGGATAAAGGAGCATACCAGTTATGTTGTTTCTTCTAAAGAGATATTATAACTTTGCTGTTAATTTAGCTGATTACCCACCTAAATATGCCCATTGGTTCAGCATTCTATTTTTTTAATGGTATACACGAAATTTGCTCATTTCTCTAACTTGCCACATATTATTATTACTGGTGTATATTTCCTCACTTTCAGAATGCCAAAGTTCTCCACAAGTATGTAGCCATGTATGCATCACAGTTGATTAAGGAAAATAACACAGAGGCTGCACTGGATTTATATGTGAAGTATGGAACTCCCCCCAGTCAACAGGTATGTACAGTACATAATGTACAGTACATTATGGTCAGTTGAATTGAATGCTGTACAGATATGTGTGGATCATTTTACAGATATTGACTTACATTATAATTATAGATTTTTGGTATTTATATTAAATATATTATTTTTATAATTTATATTATATATTATTTTTATTTGCTTATAAATCATAATTATTAAAGTTCATAAAAAGGCTTTAAATTTATTTTTCATTGAGTGATAATATTGTTTTCTTGCCATATGTATTAACATTTGATATCCCTTGTCACTTATATGTCCCATGTATATTTATTGCAGTATTAACTAAAACTTTTTTTTTCAGAACTTCAACATCTACAAGCGTATCTTCTCAGACATCGCTGGCATGCATGGGCTGAATAAGGCAGAGGCTTATAGGACATGGGCAGACCTCAGGGACATGTTATTTGACCTGGTACGTGTTCAGGGCTGACTTTTGAATTTGGATTATATAGATTATTATAACAGTAACGTATTGTTTGCAGAGTATGGACATGATTTTTGCGATTTGCCACTCTTGATTTTTTTTACTACTCAAGATGATTTGTGAATTAAGATAATTTTGAAGATAATTTTTGTATCGTCAACGGAAAAAGTTATCATGCTATATACAACTTACTCAGTTAATGCAAAAGAATCTCCACTTTGCCCCCTTACTGAATACATTTATTTACAGTGTGAGAACATGACTCGTTCAGCCGAGGCCAACTCCCCTGCCCACGAAGAGTTTGAAAACATGCTTCTGGTGGCCCATTATTATGCCACGCGCTCAGCCTCCATGTCCCACAAGTCTCTGGAGGCGGTGGCCACCAAACTGTCAGTGTCACTACTGAGACACATAGAGCTGATCCCTGCAGACAAGGCCTTCTATGAGGCTGGAATGATGTGTAAGGTAAGTGAGGCAGACTTGTGGGGCAACCTGTGATTGCTAATAGTTAAAGTTTTCAGCAATCTTTTTCTTTTTTTAATTTACAAAAGTTATTATTTATTCAGTTAAAATGAATAAATATCCAGTAAATAAAAACTGTGAACATGCGTTGTATTATTTGTGATGCCAGCTACAGTGAAATATAAAACATTATATGATGAACCATGATGATTAATGAATTAAACCTACTCCTTTCTATATTTTAATAATAAAATCTGAAGATTTCATTATCTCATTTTTGTTGCAGATTGCAGGCTGGGAGAACATGGCCTTTGTGTTGCTGAACAGATACCTGGACATTGTTGAGGTAAGTATACTGACAATATTTATCTCATTTAATATTTAAAAATGGTGTAATTTAAGACTATCTGAGTTGGCCAAAATGATGGCCCCTATGTGAAAAAGTCAGCAAAGTGAACACCTCAGCTGTTTAGAATAGTGTGAAATCTTTTTAAAAATTTTATAGAAATATAAACAATATTTCATTCACAACTTGTAATATGGCAAAATATAATTTTATTTCCAGGCTATAGAAGAAGGCTCTCTGGATATGTTGGATAATACAGATTTCCAGGATACAGATATTCCTTTTGAATTTTCACTGCCTGAGAAACCACATTTGAATGTGAGTTTTTGTGATTTTAGCTTAATAAATAAATCAAACAAAAAGTGATTTTTTCTAAGAAAAAACTAGTATATTTTCTTGAGGATGCCATCTTTTCAACACATATACTGACAACACTCCATTTCAAACCACATTTTGTTTTTATTATTGATAATCTGTGATTGAAAAGGGGGGGTTCTTTTGTATTATGCATTTTAACTTTTTGCTTATCAAGTATAAGATTTGCTGTGTGAACAGCAAACTTAAGGAATCTACATTCAGTTTTAGTGGATTGACTGAAGATACAAATTTATGGTTTGCCTTTTTCTGGTTATGGTGAAAGCGTTCTGCTGTGTATTATCCACTCACATTTTCATTCTAATGAATAACATTAAATTTTGTTATGTTAACTTAACTCTACTGCTGTTGTATGTATGTTTATCAGGAGGATAAACATGAGGAGGTCAAGGAGTGGGTCCTGGCTGTCTCCATGGACCAGAGGGTGGAGCAGGTATTGCCAAAAGACGAGAGGGACACGTATGAAGCCTCACTGGTGGCAGCTAACACAGGGATACGCTCACTGCCATGTGTCATTTCAGGTAACCTAGTACCTATGTTAGACAGTACTTCATTTCAAGCTATGTGCACAACTTTACTATGGAAAGTAGGCAATTTAGGAATACCTGGATACACAGCTGTAAAGTAGGTTGTTTTGCAACATGCATGTTTATGTTCAGGATTTTGATACTTAAAAGTATGTCAAGTGGTTTACTTAGTGTTAAAGTAGGTGAACAGGTGACACAGTCTAAAGTTACGCAAAAAGGTGTTGAAATATCTGCAAAATACACTTGTAGTGAAGCCCTTCAAATTTTAAAAGAAAATCCATCATGGAGATTTTTCAGAAGATAAATTGCTTCATATAAACTTTTTCAAGTAAAAGTATAATATAGTGATTCAGTCTTCATATTGATTTTGTGTTGTTCAGAGTAATTTAGGACTGTAATTTGCATGGCCGCTAATATCTTATCTTCCGTTTGATTAAAATGTCCATATAATTCATGAAAAATTATCTTCAGGCTACCCAGTCCTTAGGAACAAACTGGAATTCAAACGTCCAGGCAAGGCTGCAAACAAAGATGACTGGAATAAGTTTTTAATGGCAACCAAGGTAATGACTGCATCCTTGTTGAAGTATGGTGTTTTATCAAAATTAATTTTATCTTTTTGTTCAAAACACTGCCACTTTCTAAATCACAATCTCAGCTAATATCTACAAATGACATGAAAATCAATCTTTATGTAATGAAGCAGACCTCTTTGTTCCTTGATATATAGAACATGGATATTTTTCCCATTTAAACTTGATAAGTAATTTCCCCATTTGTTGTTAATTATCCAGGTTTCTCACAGCCAGGAGTGCCAGGACACCCTGAAATTCATTGGCACGTGGTGTGGTGCAGCCCCCAGTCCAAGTTTTACCATGTAACAGGACACGCAGGGTGCCGAATGCATACAAGGCAGGCCCTGAATTAAGTTCACTGTTGAACTATGTTCTTTTGAAAATGTTGGGAGTACGAAGCCAAAAAATTTGATAACTATTTTGCTATATATAAGGAAAATTTTTTGTCTGTTTGGAGTTTCCACTGAATATGAGAGAACGATTTACAGATGGGTTATTTTGAAATAAAAGGGGTTCATCTGTGAACAATAACAACAAAGATGAACAGTTTAAAGTTTATTTCATATTAATATAAGATATAACAAATCATTTAACATTGTTTTGATGTTTTTTCTGTGATAAAGATATTTCTTGCATGCCGTCCATTCTTTTAGTTACCATCTTGGCATACTAATCTCTATCCTGTAAACTTTGAAAAAATTGTCTGCAATTCTTTGCATCATAGTTTGTTGGAATCAATAAATAGTCTGCATCTGATTAAATATAATACTATATACACTGGCACTCTTGAGTGTTGTTGTGCTTTGAATAAGCATGTTTTGTTGAACAAGAAATAATTTTTTACTCAAAATTTCATGTTTTAAAAAGAAGTTATGAGGAAAAAAAAAAACTTCCAAAACTGTAACCAATGTACACAGAAAAATTCATTAATCAAATTCAAGTTTCAGCAGTTAGAATTGAATCTTTTTCAGTAATGAAATATTTCACTAAAAAGTTTTGATGAAGAAATTAAGAAATGACCCGAATAAATTATGGAGCAATTATGGTTATAAGTTTTGATAATGCAAACTAATAGTTTTAACAGTTGGATTCATTCCAGGATAACTAATTTTATATTATAAGAGGTAATAATTAATATACAAGGACACTTCATATGACCAAAATATAAACTCATATGACCAAAATATAAACTACAGATAAAAGAAGGATTATCGTAAGAGGATTGATTAAGCAAATAAAACATATAATGGTTGATTCTACATTGTTCCACAAGATATTTATCGACATATGAATTCATTTTGCCAGTCACATATACATAGGAAAATATTAGATGTTAAAAATATATATAAGGAGGTGTTAAACCTGGAGCTATGCTTCAAGCATATTTCTTTCAACAAAATTACAGAAAAAAATTGCTCCAGTGTGACTAACAGGTTAACGTGATAAAACTTGTAAGTTAATTGCAATGGATCATATCCCTCTGGAGTCTCGCCTTAAGTAAAGTAAAGGTGTCCTAAAAATAAGTGCAGGGTAAAAAAAGGACTACAGCAAACCATACTACAACTGGCAACTTAAAAAATACCCCTTCCCCATCTAGGAAGAGATCCCACTAGATACAGAGACCAGAAATTAGGCAGTTTTCTTCTGATAAACACATTTACTGACCATTGACTACATTACAAAATAATTCAAATAAAAATAATAAACTCATGAAGACAAAGGAGTTATATAAGAATCTCTGTTTAAACTGAAGAAGTGAAAATAAAAGTACATTGCTATTTTGATGCTGAACACCCACGTTTTTCTGTCTGGTACTATTCAAATTATGCAATCTTGAAGTGAATATACAAGTACAAGTACATTGCAGCTATGTTGATACTAAAGACCCACATGTTAATCTGTCTGGGACTATTCAAATCATTCAACAGCTAATCTTAAGCCAACAATAGTGAGAATGAAACTCACTTATCACTGCTATATGACAATCATCTTGATTACATACATTGCATCAATTTTACAATCATAATTGAAAAGTATCTAACTTGCAGCGTTATTAACATGATCACACACACAAAAAAATTGAAACCTACTTTATCCCATGATACCTCAGAAAAAAACTTTTCCATTAAAAAAATACCAAAGACTTTTACAAGGACCAACAACAAAATCTGAACAATGATCTCAAGAGACTGGCCTAACAAATCTTAATCTTTTCTACCATAAAAAAAGAGATTCACATATCAGTCTTTGGAATGGACCAGAATTCCTGATATCACAGCTTAAACAAACTAAAGACTGGCAAACAGATTTCCCTTTTTGACTACAGGTCCAACTGTTAAATCTTCCTACTTGTTTTCAACACAGTGACATTTTTTTAAAACTAAGTCAAGTGTATTACTGTTTTCTTTTGAAGAGGGTCATAGTAACCCTGCTATCTATTGCCTTCTATGGTCTGATGGTATCATTTGCAGCCATTCATGAGACAGCAGACAGCTGTTCTTGATACTGCACCCGTAGTGAACTCAGAGTGGCAAATATGTTGTCCCTTTCAACTAAAGGTTTCAGTTGAGAATACTCCTGCTCGTTTTCTAAAGTTTTGCCAATTTTCTCAATGTCTGCAGTATTGTTATTCTGTTCATCTTCAAAAAGGTCAGCTGTGTTGATATCGTCCTTCATCTTACTAACAACTATGACTTTGTCAGCTTTCTGGCTTTTGCACTCACTCTCCTTATTGCTGAACTTTACTAATGTTATTTTTTCTTCAACTTTGGCATTTTTTGCAGATGGTGCAAGTTTTATCATCATCACTTTTTTGAATCCTGTTCTTTTGGTCACATAAGTTTTTCGATTATCACTCATTCTAATCTGCATTACATCTGACTTGGACGACTTTGGAACGGATGAAGAAACTTTCCCACAGTGAGACTTTGATAGGTCTTTTTTGTGCTTAACACCACATTCGAGCATGGATTTTAGTCTTTTTTTGTTTCCTTCAGCTGGTTCCCATTCTGGGTCTTCACTGCCCATGCAGTATTCTATATCTCTGGATTTACGTTTCCTAACTGTCTTTGATTTTGTTCTTTCCTTTCCACAATCCCAGTCTTCTTCACACTCAGAGTTACTGTCAGACCAAGGATACACAAAGTCACTGACATAGTAAGACTCCAATTGCCTTGGTTTTCTTTCCCTTCTGGAGTAGACTTTTGTTTTTTCCAAAGTGTCTTTTTCAACCTTACCAGTTTGAGAAAAGATATACTTGGGATATTTGTGGCCCAAGAATTTCCTCTCTTTTTGTTCGTCTGTGCATTCACTTACATCTATGGTATCTGAGGCATTACAATGAACTTCTTTAACACTCATGTTATTGACATGAATGGAGTGACTCCCACATATCTTTAAACGAGAAAGCTTTTCCAGTCTTACAACTGGCACTGGTAAAACCATTTTGTTGGGTGGCTTTTCAGGGGCAATTTTGTCTTTGGAAGTAGTCATTGTATAATCTTCTTTCTGTTTTCGCTCAGTTTTGTTTTCAGAAAAATATTTGGTCCCATTGCAACACCCTATTTGCTGAATGTTATAGTCATCCACAGTAACAGTTCTCTCACTTCCAGAGTGAAGCCAGTAGGTATTACTCTCACCTTTGACAAAATCTTTAACCTTTAGTTTCTCTACCATCAAACTAGGTTCCAATCCTGAATCCAATGGTAAACAAGGTTTCAATTTTCCATTGAAATTCCTTGAATCTCTGAATCTTTTGACTGCATGGGTGGATTTCTTGTGTTTCAGCAACATATCCTTTGAAGTAAAATTTGTCTTGCATCTGAGACTTGGAAATGTGAAGGGTTGCTTGTGTTTTGTACTCATATGATGTTCCAGTTTTAAAGCATTCAGAAATAGTTTGTGACAAACTGGACAATCAAGATACTGCAGTTTTTCAACGTGGGCAATCTTTTTGTGCCTTACCACATTGGTCTCAAAAGTAAATGCCTTGTTGCATATGTCACATCTAAATGCCCTCGGCCTTCCGTGTTTGGTCTTAAGGTCTTCAGTTAGCTGCCTCTTGTGATATCCAATCTTCCTGTTAAACTTGGACCTGGAAGTAAAGTCACATTACAGAGTGGATAAAATTTTGCATTCAGTGTACTATATGGAAAAGAGCCAATTTTTACAAGGCAAATACACCAGAAATACATTTAAGGAAATCAAAATTGAATGCAAAAATAATACTACTGGCCTACAGTACATATTAGGTTTCAAGGTAAATTTCAAAAATAAATTATGATGACCTCTTATCAAAAAACTTTTAAATAATCTAGAAACAAAAGCCTTACTCAAGATTACACTGATCTAAAGAACAGGACAAAGCTCCAGCATGTCGCATTACATGGGACTTCCACAAGTAGTACTTGTTGAGGGTTGTAAAGGGACAGTGTGGGCACTTGTGTTTCAAAAGTCCTGGACAAGAAAACTGTCTGATTTTCCTGGTATCATTCTTTTTATCTGCTTTACTGAAAGAGGCATAGCTGCTATCCATGCTTTTACTTGGGATCCTTGCAGCCCCGTTGTTTTTCTCATTTTTCGTTGAAGGACAACAGTCACATGTTTTAACTTTCCTCTTCCTCTTCCCTTCCTCTACTTCCAGTGGGATTTCCTCAACAACATCAAAGTCATCTGTATACTCTGTGTAACTAACAGGTTTAGTAGACCTTCTGACCCTGCCACTGCCAAAGAATTCAAGCTCGGGTCTCTTCTTTGCATTACACTCTGAAGTAGGATCTGCGTCGTTTCTAACTTTTGCATGCAATTTCTTTTTTATGTTCAATGATACTCTTTTTCAGCGACTTCTTTGGTATTTTATTTTTGGCTTGCCCGCTCTTATTCTTACACCTTTTGTAAAAGGCTTTCTTGGAATTTTTTGTGTCTCTAAGTTCTTTGGTGTCTTGCAAATTAATTTTCTTACCAACTTCAGCTTTCATGGAATTTTGGAGATTCTTTTTCTTCTTTAAAATTCCAATTGCTTTTTTATCAGTACTGAGTTTTCCCCTCTTTTTTGATGACGATAAACTTTGAGTCCCATTCTTCTGAATATAAGTGTCAAAAGATTTGATTTCAATATTTTCAACACAAGGTGGCACCATGTCCTCATCATTCTGAATGACAACTTCAGATATGGGCAGAACTTTGTAAGACTGGTCAGCCTGCGGATAGTAAAGATAGGCAGCTGGACACGCGGGCCTCTCACTACCCAGGGTAGCTCTGACATCAGGAGGGACGAAGTGCAATACCACATTCTGCACCATTGTAGGTTCTGTAACTAAAGGCACTGTATCTTGGTTTATTGGCATTGCCAGATCACTTGGTAACTGACAGCTGGTATCAATGCATGCATTTGAATCTGGGATGTGCTCAGTTACACCTGGCATGTGCTCAGTTACACTGGGCGTGAGCTCACTTCCATCTGGCAGGTGCTCACTCAAGTCTGGCACATTCTCACAGAGTGAATCATTTTTTGACCCAGTGTTATCTGGTTCTTTCAGTACCCTGTCCCCATGCTGCAATGCATTCTGCTTTTTCAAAGATGGCATTTTTTCACAAAGAGGCGGATTTGGGGGCTCAGCACCTGCGAGTTCTTTTAAACCATCTTGCATTTCGGACTCGGAGGCATTTTCTTTTATCAAAGAAGTTGTTTCCTGACATGGAGACCGATATGTCAGCTTGGGTGTGGTCTCTTTCATACAAGCTTGCATCTCTTGAAGTGCAAGTTGGTTTTCCAATTCAGGCATGATTTCACATGGAGCTTTTTCACCATCTTCAGGAACTGTGTCCTTCACCAACACAGGTGGACTACTGGGCATACAGGCAGTGTTCTCCAAGACCAAAACTGGCATAATGTCATTTGATGGTCCATTCTGTGCATTGACCCTGGACTGATCTTTTAAAACTGGCACCATTTCTGGGAGAACCTCGTTTCTTAACTGAGCCGTAGATTGTTTTTTCAAATGAGGTATTAGTTCAGATGAAGGCAGTTTTTCAGATTCAGAAACAGGTTCTGTCACCGGTGATGGAGCTTCAGTCATGAGTAAGTTCTGTGAATCAGATGCTGTCTTTATTAAACTTGATGTCATTTCAGACCAAGAAGAATTTTTCTCTGTTACAACTGCTGATTTGGAAACAGTCTTCTCTACTTCAGACTCTGGAGCAGCATCTTTGAAATTTGAGGTCACTTCACTGTGAAGCTTATGTTGTTCAGCAGTGAAATCCTCTTTAATTGGAATTGATGTGACTGTAGACAGGGGTTGCTTTTCTGACCTATGGGTGGTATTCTCTATCAAAGTCAACCTTTCAGTGTTGGATGCTGTCTGTTTTATTACATCTGCCGTCATAACCAAATCAGGGTTCTTTCCCACCTGGGAAACTATTTCCGACTTTTGAGACATGGCCGTTGTTTCTTCCGCAATATGTGACGTAAGTTCTTGCAAGCACTTTTTTTCATCTCCTGCCTTAGGTGTATCTTCTTTCACAGTCTTTTCCATATTGTTTAACCTACGTCTACTCCTTTTTGCACCTGCTGGAAATTCAGTTCCTGAAGCCTGTGAAATTGGTCAAGAGATTCAGTTTTATTTCCACCATTCTTTAAAGACCAAGGAGTTTTTGGAGTCAATATATGAATAAATGATTAACACCAGTCTTGAATTCTTGTTTTAATAATTTGTTATGAGGGTCCAAATCTATGCATAACTTGGTAGTGGCAGTTCCAAAAGAAGCTAATCTGGTAGAGACCACAACCTGGCATGAAAAAAAAAGAAATTAAATGCTATATTGTAGATCAGTAAGCAGTATGGAGAATGGATGAATGTTGATTTGATGACCATTTATTTATTGTCATGTCAGCTCAAGAAATAGTGTTTAAGCATTTCAAATAATTTCTACGTCACTCAACCTTTCTTATAGGGAAAATAAACTACAACCATATATTTTGCATGTAAACACATATAAGAGATATCGTAAAAAAAAAATGCAAATCCATATGCTTCATGTCACATAAATATGTATGATGATGTGGAAATGTGATGCAATTTTTACAAAACAAACATCATCAGAATTTTGTCCGTCGCATATTACAAGACAGCCATACATTAAATCGTGTACACAAATTTGCGAAAAATTACAAAATGTCGGCACTAAAACACTATTATGACTGCTTCACTTGCAAGCATGCAACGAGTAACAGGGAACATTGCTGCAACCTGCAAGTTAGAAATTCTGCAGACAGGACATAATTGCAACAAATACGCATGACCACAGTAATTCAGATATATCACAAATAGTGTGTCAGTCATCTCGGCTTAATGCATGGTTTATATGCATAACTTACCTTCCATATACAACCACTGCATCACTGCAAGGCATTTTGAACGGGGTCAATGTTGTTTTTAACAGTATCTACTTTCATCCGGGAACTTGGGCTCTAGCTAGGATAAACTGAATAAAAGATTCGAGGTTTTGAATGGTTCGCTTAAGTAAAAAACGTTGTTGTTTTTTTTGTTCACTGGAAGACTTTTTTGTCTTTATGGTTCGCGCAAATGTAGCTTTAAATTTATTTTAGGTTGGAGTCTGTAACGCATCTCAACTGAGCTTTTGGTTTGTATTTTATTGGGTGCTCTTTAGTTGAAGAAGTCTTGATTAAAAAGCACCACTCTCCAAAAAAAGAATTTGGGAAGTGCTTTATAATATATCTTGTTAAAATGGACAGTGCAGTACAGGAAAAATTAGAATGAACAATGTGCGATATTTAAATATATTATACTCTTACAAAAGAACTATTTGATTAGGCACCACATGGTAGCTATAGGTTGATTGTGAGTGAATACTCAGAAACCCGTCGTCTACTCGTTCAAGGATGGGTTGGGAGTCCGGCTGTTTGGTGAAAATTAACTGATAGGTATCATACCAGGACATATATCAATATCAGCCGTTTAAAATGGACAGGGTAAGTGTACAGAGAGGGGGATATGCATCCCTATACAAGGCTATACAAGATATATTATTCTTGAACTCGTATACATGTAACTATGGTCCCTTGCACTCCTTTGCTTCCGTGTTTTATACTGTATTTACTGGGGTAATAATTGGTATTGTAAATCTGTTTGTATTCTTGTTAAATATGTCCCCCCCCCCTTACAAATCGAAATCAAAAGTCCCAGATCATTAAAAAAACAAGGGTTTCTAATATCAAAGTTGTAAATTTGTCAACTCATCACCATGAAATGAAATGAAAAAAACATTGAAACCCCCACCATTGACTAAGCATATTTTGCACTATGCTGGATGAAATTTTACAGCACATCGTGAGGAAGGAAAATGTGTTTGAACCACAGTTTAGTCTTATTTCAGTTTCTTTCTCTTAAGGGTGGAATGCAATTATACCTGTGTTTTCATTATGGTGTATTATCTGTGTGTCTTTCTCTGTGTCTTTTTACATACCTCCTACAGTGGAAGACTTGCATTTTCCTTCCTATTTCCATATTGATTTACCTGAGTGCCACTGTTATATATAGCTAGTACTTAACAAGTCTTCCTAGGCATGTTTATGGTAATGACCTGATATTTTCAGTGGGGGAAAAATATGAGTTTTACAGATACTGTACCTTATAAGTCATTGGAACCATTCAGATCGAGAAGAGCTGAGTGCTAGTAAGGCCGTGACCTTAATATGGCAGACCTACATGAAAGGAAGACCGCTAATCCTATAATGGTCTCTCCTCCTCTCACACACATCCCCACGCGTTGTCCCTCGTCCGGTTGAATTGAGCCGAGATTTAATTACTGTGCCCCTGAAGGGCTGATGCGTGGGGAGGTGTGTGAGAGATCATTACAGGATAAGCGGTCTTCCTTTCATGTAGGTCCACCATACTAGAACTCGGCGCTTCTCAATCAGATTGGTCCCATTATTTCAAAAAATTAAAACATTCCTATTGAGTGGTAGCAACAAATTCCAAAGGCAGGCTTCTGTATACATGTAGTTTTATTCTATGCAGTAAAAGCACCACAAATGCTATACAGAGATATAGCCTTTATGGTCCTAAAGGTATGTAATACCATCTTAACGTTTCATTTATTTACCCACTGAAAAATCCAAGTGGCTGCTGNATACTTGGCATGTGCTCAGTTATACTGGGCATGTGCTCAGTTACACTGGGCATGAGCTCACTTCCATCTGGCAGGTGCTCACTCAAGTCTGGCACATTCTCACAGAGTGAATCATTTTTTGACCCAGTGTTATCTGGTTCTTTCAGTACCCTGTCCCCATGCTGCAATGCATTCTGCTTTTTCAAAGATGGCATTTTTTCACAAAGAGGCGGATTTGGGGGCTCAGCACCTGCGAGTTCTTTTAAACCATCTTGCATTTTGGACTCGGAGGCATTTTCTTTTATCAAAGAAGTTGTTTCCTGACATGGAGACCGATATGTCAGCTTGGGTGTGGTCTCTTTCATACAAGCTTGCATCTCTTGAAGTGCAAGTTGGTTTTCCAATTCAGGCATGATTTCACATGGAGCTTTTTCACCATCTTCAGGAACTGTGTCCTTCACCAACACAGGTGGACTACTGGGCATACAGGCAGTGTTCTCCAAGACCAAAACTGGCATAATGTCATTTGATGGTCCATTCTGTGCATTGACCCTGGACTGATCTTTTAAAACTGGCACCATTTCTGGGAGAACCTCGTTTCTTAACTGAGGCGTAGATTGTTTTTTCAAATGAGGTATTAGTTCAGATGAAGGCAGTTTTTCAGATTCAGAAACAGGTTCTATCACCGGTGATGGAGCTTCAGTCATGAGTAAGTTCTGTGAATCAGATGCTATCTTTATTAAACTTGATGTCATTTCAGACCAAGAAGAATTTTTCTCTGTTACAACTGCTGATTTGGAAACAGTCTTCTCTACTTCAGACTCTGGAGCAGCATCTTTGAAATTTGAGGTCACTTCACTGTGAAGCTTATGTTGTTCAGCAGTGAAATCCTCTTTAATTGGAATTGATGTGACTGTAGACAGGGGTTGCTTTTCTGGCCTATGGGTGGTATTCTCTATCAAAGTCAACCTTTCAGTGTTGGATGCTGTCTGTTTTATTACATCTGCCGTCATAACCAAATCAGGGTTCTTTCCCACCTGGGAAACTATTTCCGACTTTTGAGACATGGCCGTTGTTTCTTCCGCAATATGTGACGTAAGTTCTTGCAAGCACTTTTTTTCATCTCCTGCCTTAGGTGTATCTTCTTTCACAGTCTTTTCCATATTGTTTAACCTACGTCTACTCCTTTTTGCACCTGCTGGAAATTCAGTTCCTGAAGCCTGTGAAATTGGTCAAGAGATTCAGTTTTATTTCCACCATTCTTTAAAGACCAAGGAGTTTTTGGAGTCAATATATGAATAAATGATTAACACCAGTCTTGAATTCTTGTTTTAAAAATTTGCGATGAGGGTCCAAATCTATGCATAACTTGGTAGTGGCAGTTCCAAAAGAAGCTAATCTGGTAGAGAGCACAACCTGGGATGAAAAAAAAAGAAATTAAATGGTATATTGTAGATCAGTAAGCAGTATGGAAAATGGATGGATGTTGACTTGATGACCATTTATATAATTTATTGTAGTCATGTCAGCTCAAAAAATAGTGTTTAAGCATTCTCAAATAATTTCTACGTCACTCAACCTTTCTTATAGGGAAAATAAACTACAACCATATATTTTGCATGTAAACACATATAAGAGATATCGTAAAAAAAAATGCAAATCCATATGCTTCATGTCACATACATATGTATGATGATGTGGAAATGTGATGCAATTTTTACAAAACAAACATCATCAGAATTTAGTCCGTCGCATATTACAAGACAGTCATACATTAAATCGTGTACACAAATTTGCAAAAAATTACAAAATGTCGGCATTAAAACACTATTATGACTGCTTCACTTGCAAGCATGCAACGAGTAACAGGGAACATTGCTGCAAGCTGCAAGTTAGAACTTCTGCAGACAGGACATAATTGCAACAAATAGGCATGACCACAGTAATTCAGATATATCACAAATAGTGTGTCAGTCATCTCGGCTTAATGCATGGTTTATATGCATAACTTACCTTCCATATACAACCACTGCATCACTGCAAGGCATTTTGAACGGGGTCAATGTTGTTTTTAACAGCATCTACTTTCATCCGGGAACTTGGGCTCTAGCTAGGATAAACTGAATAAAAGATTCGAGGTTTTGAATGGTTCGCTTAAGTAAAAAACGTTGTTGTTTTTTTGTTCACTGGAAGACTTTTTTGTCTTTATGGTTCGCGCAAATGTAGCTTTAAATTTATTTTAGGTTGGAGTCTGTAACGCATCTCAACTGAGCTTTTGGTTTGTATTTTATTGGGTGCTCTTTAGTTGAAGAAGTCTTGATTAAAAAGCACCACTCTCCAAAAAAAGAATTTGGGAAGTGCTTTATAATATATCTTGTTAAAATGGACAGTGAAGTACAGGAAAAATTAGAATGAACAATGTGCGATATTTAAATATATTATACTCTTACAAAAGAACTATTTGATTAGGCACCACATGGTAGCTATAGGTTGGAAATTTGTGAGTGAATACTCAGAAACCCGTCGTCTACTCGTTCAAGGATGGGTTGGGAGTCCGGCTGTTTGGTGAAAATTAACTGATAGGTATCATACCAGGACATATATCAATATCAGCCGTTTAAAATGGACAGGGTAAGTGTACAGAGAGGGGGATATGCATCCCTCTACAAGGCTATACAAGATATATTATTCTTGAACTCGTATACATGTTACTATGGTCCCTTGCACTCCTTTGCTTCCGTGTTTTATACTGTATTTACTGGGGTAATAATTGGTATTGTAAATCTGTTTGTATTCTTGTTAAATATGTCCCCCCCCCCCCTTACAAATCGAAATCAAAAGTCCCAGATCATTAAAAAAACAAGGGTTTCTAATATCAAAGTTGTAAATTTGTCAACTCATCACCATGAAATGAAATGAAAAAAACATTGGAATGCAATTATACCTGTGTTTTCATTATGGTGTATTATCTGTGTGTCTTTCTCTGTGTCTTTTTACATACCTCCTACAGTGGAAGACTTGCATTTTCCTTCCTATTTCCATATTGATTTACCTGAGTGCCACTGTTATATATAGCTAGTACCTAACAAGTCTTCCTAGGCATGTTTATGGTAATGACCTGATATTTTCAGTGGGGGAAAAATATGAGTTTTACAGATACTGTACCTTATAAGTCATTGGAACCATTCAGATCGAGAAGAGCTGAGTGCTAGTAAGGCCGTGACCTTAATATGGCAGACCTACATGAAAGGAAGACCGCTAATCCTATAATGGTCTCTCCTCCTCTCACACACATCCCCATGCGTTGTCCCTCGTCCGGTTGAATTGAGCCGAGATTTAATTACTGTGCCCCTGAAGGGCTGATGCGTGAGGAGGCGTGTGAGAGATCATTACAGGATAAGCGGTCTTCCTTTCATGTACCGGTAGGTCCACCATACTAGAACTCGGCGCTTCTCAATCAGATTGGTCCCATTATTTCAAAAAATTAAAACATTCCTATTGAGTGGTAGCAACAAATTCCAAAGGCAGGCTTCTGTATACATGTAGTTTTATTCTATGCAGTAAAAGCACCACAAATGCTATACAGAGATATAGCCTTTATGGTCCTAAAGGTATGTAATACCATCTTAACGTTTCATTTATTTACCCACTGAAAAATCCAAGTGGCTGCTANTTTTTTTTTTTTTTTTTTTTTTTGGTACTAGTACATGTTACTAGATATCTCTCATACACTATTATTTCTTTATATTTCTAATATTAAAACATTTCATTCAATGTAGCTGAGGAAGTCATATTTGAATGTTCTCTATGCACCACAGGACAATTTACATTAATTAGAACTTTTTCATAAAAATTCCTTTAGTGGAACAATAGTAGCACTGTCTTCACTTTGTCAGTGTAAGGAATTACCCTTTACCACCCATTGATTTTCCTGCCAGACCTTGAAAATTTGAATCTGTGTAACTTGAAAGTCTGGTGGTATTTTGGTAAACAGTGTGATCAAGAGAAGACCATTAGAGAAATTGGCCTTTTTTTTTCTCTAAAAACAGTTTCTGTGACAGTTTCTGTACAAAATAATAAGTGAAGTTATTATGTGTATGAGTAGTAACAACACATCAAATGTTAGACAGTAAGTCAGCGCTTAATTTTTTGGGCTTGGGTAAGTAAATTTTACGGTATTTTAAGAAAGGTTAGATCAAATGGTCCCAGTGACAAGTGAGACAGTACTTAGTATTTTATATAGCTGCATTGATGTTCATTATTTTGGTAGTGCACTTTATGTTTTTACACTGAGACCAATCCCATAGATATATAAAAGGGACAAAGCCTCAAGTCATTTAGAGCTAGCTTTCATGCCATGCTTATAAATACATGTTACCTTGGGATCTAATTATAGTTTAACAAAGAGGTATGAGAACCTGTAGAAGAGTCCTGAAATTTTGTGGTTATAAAAGAAATTGTAGTCTTTAATGGTAATTTAAATTGGATTAAGTGAATAAATAGATAGCATTTTCTTAATTGATTGGTCAAATTTTTGCTCTAGAAAATATCCATTTATAATTATTTATGTATGTATTTGCTTTGCAGAGAATATTGGCTGAAGGTGGTATGCTGTTTTGCAGGCATTAATAAAGTGATATCAGTTAATGCGTATTCAAAATATCTCAAAGAAATAAGCCCTTCATTAATCATATAATGGAATATGTACTGAATTTTCAAGTATTATAAACTTAATTGGGTGACAGGTTTGAATGGGCTCATGGGATTTATGGAGCATAGATGAAAACGGACCATTTGGTTTTGCGGTTGCCTAAACATAAACTGAAACAGTTTTGATTTTTGAATAGCAATTAAATTAACCTTTAATGATTGTCACTACATGGCTATAACATAATGGCTATAAATTAGTCTTGACTGAGTTAGTCTGCCATATTAGCCACTGTTCCTACCCCCACAGCCAGTAAAATTTTGTTTGGACAAGTAGTTTTATCAGAATTTAGTGGTCTAACATGGCCATTTGATTATTTTAAGGGCTTTTGATTAGATTTAATTTTTTTCTGAAATGTAACATTCTAATATTAATACTATACAATATTAGGGTAAAACATCTAGTGTGCCTTACTGATATTTTTATTCGGACCAGTGAATAGTGATTTGGAGAGTAAATTTTAGAAAATTGGTGGTCTGAATTGCCAATAAGCTGCCCCCCCAAACCCACACTGAAAATCAAATTAGCAGCAATAGGACTAATTATCTGGTTTGTCAGTCAAGAATGTGAGAATCTAATTGATAGCTCATCAAGCAGGTAAACATTAAGTTACCTATTTGTATTTAATGGTTCATGGAAGTAGCGACATAAAAGGAATGTTGTCATAGATACATGTGAATATGCCTTTAAAAATATTTTGTGTACTTCATATTTATTTCTTTTTTATACCCATCATGAAAAGAATGATCCAATTATGGTTGACTTAAACTGGCACATTGCATGTCAGATTTGAATGAATTAATAAGACTTCAGATAAAAAATACAGACAGATGCATGATATTAGGTGGGAGAAATGCACCAAGTACTAGTAACTTAATTTTTCAAAAATTACAGAAATTGCTCACATGTGTGAATATCCTCACTTTTTCCAGTATTTAATGTTTTCAAGATTTCAAGTGTTTGAAGTTCTCGGTGTAAAGCCTTTCGATTCTTGGAATGGTTTCACAAAAGAGTATTAGGCTTCATTTACGTACATGCAATGTCTATTTTCTAAATTCTATTTTCTATTCACGGTATGTCTTATGATCACGGTCTGTGCCCTGAATATCCCGCGGCGTAATTACTGGCAGCGCGAGTCAGTTACTATAAGTTACTTTAAGTAACTGTCTCTGTAGCTGCCAGTAATTACGCCGCGGGATATTCAGGGCACAGACCATGATCATAAGATACCGGGAATAGAAAATAGATTTTTAGAAAATAGACTTTCCATGTGAACGAAGCCTTAATCTGGAAATCAGTCTAAACTTCAGGTCAAGGTTATTCATAGTAGCCTGCTTAAAGTAAACTTAAGCCTAAAAGATAAGCGATGTCTTTATTGTTATAAAACTGATGCAGTATTGCATAGACTACGNACTGTCTTCCAACAGAAAAATAAGATACCTTTTAATGTAAACTTGAAAATCTGACTGTCTTCTGGAAGACCCAGAAGACGGCCTAAATCCGCCCCTGATTATGATGGCATTCACAGGACCTCATGAATTATGTTGTCTTTGGGCCAAATGGGAGCTATTTCAGCCCCTCCAGCAGGCCAAAATTCATAAATTTAAATAATTTAAATAATGCTGCCATAACAGTCATATTTCCAATATGTACAGTACTAGAAGTCTGCATCACACTAATGCGTATGGGAGTACGCCGGGGATTGTTTTTTATTGGGCAGAAGTTATTCTGGATGTAACAAAAGATTGATTTTGATTACTTTAGCATACAGTTCATGTTGTTGTACTGTGTTTAACCTCAGAGGGTGTCTCACACAATGGAAGATGAGAAAAAGCAAGAGACTGTGGTAAGCTAAAGTGCCTTGTATAAGACCACAAATAGCAGGGTTACTTATTGACTACTTGTTTATATATATAATTATGTATATATGTTTTTTTTTTTTAATTCTGTAAGAGGATGATATGTCATCCAAACATTGGCATGTTTCAAAATTAAAATTTCTAGGGACTAGCATCATATGAATGACATGAATCAGGAAACCAAATGCATTCAGTTGTATACTATAAACCTCTCATTATCATGATTGTATGTTATATTGTAACCGTGTCTTTTTTTTTTTTTTTTT